TCCCACCAGTGGTTTAACCAATTAGATCAGGGTAAGATTAAAAGAGAACATTTTAGCATTTGAAGCCAATCTTCTTCTTTTTTTAAACCATATCTTAAGGCACAAATAAATGATATAGGTTATTATATAGAGTTCTTAAAAGGTCTGATATAGCCAAGCAAATACCTTATTTTGTTTTATTGGAAGAAAAAGGATTTTTTTGCCATATATCTATTAAATAGATGCAGAATATGACTGGGAATGTGATCTTAAAGTGTTTGAAAGGAATTTATTTCAACTTAAAGAGGCCTTGTTTTTTTTTTGGGGGGTTTTCCCTTTCCTGTAGTGTGTTATGTATGTTTTTATGCATGTAAATGGTCCGCAAAGACTAAAATCCCAACACATTGTACATGATAGGCTAAGGGGCGGGACAGCTCTTAACGGTTGACCAATCACAACAGAGCCGACCATCTGACCAATCAGAGCAGACTGGGCTCTGGTTTCAGACAGAGGGGGAAAAGAGGTGCTGCAGCACAGGCAGTATGAGAAGAATAAAGAGCTTTTTGAACATTAAAGTATGGAGACATGTCAGAGTAGAGGAACACAATACAAATATGAACCTGAAAATGAGCATAATATGTCTTCTTTAAATCAAATATAACCCAGCATGCATCAGCTGAATGACAGGGAAAAAACCATGACACAAATATTCTCAAAGTGTTCACACTGTTAGAGCTACTTGACCATGCTTGTGGTTAACATTACATTACAACCCAACAATAATATGAACCACCAGCAGCACACTGCCTTGGTGTGAAGCAAATTAAAGGTTGTAAAATTATTTTTAACCTTGGTTTTGCCTGTCTGATCTGTATTATGTAAAACTAATATATTTTTGTATATCTGTAACTACAATGCTCAAAGCCTATCATACAAACAGACTCTATTATTATATCTACAGCATAGAGGGGTTGTATAAATTCTTAATTTAGACAACACAGTTTTATGAGCTGCAGAATGTACTGAATCATCCGATAGAGTCCTGCAGGCCACAAAAGTTTTTATGATGATGGTGTGGATCAAAGATGCTGCTGATGCACTCTGAGCTTTTACTAAGACATCAAACTGTAACATGTTTGTTTCATAATCTCCCCTTTGGCCTTAATAAATGTGAATGAACTGGTTTTATGTAGGTAATGGTAGCACTCACGCAAAGGGAGACCTAGATATTCTGCTTTGCTTGGCTCTAAGGTCATGGCTTCCTCAGAATTGACCTTAATAATGAATTGTGTGTGCTACAAAAATGTGGTCATTGTTAGTTTTTACGTCATGTTTATGAGTGAAATAATTTAACAAGTTTTCAGTGCAGTGACACTTGATTAAGATGTTCAATTGAAAGAAAGACTTGTTTTTCACAGCAAGAAGAGGATTTTAAGGAGATAAAAAAATACTAACTATGGTGCCTGTAATTTGTATTGAGCAACTCAAGTTTTAGTTTTGCATATTTATAGTCTGTCGAACAGATTGAAAAAGTATTTATAGAAACTCTAAAAAAGTTAAGCAGGAGAAAAATCTGCTACCCTATGTTACTGTTTCTTATGTGTAATGGCAAGTTTTTGTTTTTCAGGCCTCCAAAAACTAAACCAGTATGAAAATTACTATTATATGAAATTGTAGAGGTAAAAATCAAGTGTCCCTCAGTATACTTTTGTACATATAACTTAGGCCTCAACACCAAGGTCATGAGTTGCTGATAGAAATGACTGTTTCTGATCTGTTCTATCTGTTGATTTGATCTGTTGGTAATCTACAAAATCAAACTGCATTAGTATTAAAACGAAATGAGGGTCCACTACCGGCATGATATCTCTGTTAAAAGTGTGCTCACAGCACATGGAGTTAGTTTCCCGACCACAGAACAGGTTGTGAACATTTTACAGATCACTTTTGGATGTCTGTATGAGACTGTTGGTTTTTCTGCGCACAGCTACTTCCTGTTTGAAACAGCCCAGTCTGGCTCTACAAACCACATTCGTGTGAATCAGGCAATCAGTCACTGGCAATTTCCAGTTTGATCTTGTATACAGTTTTTTTATTCGGGGTTTTTCTAATATCTCATTCCCAATGACGTGTGTTTAACAATTCATATTCATTATCCATTTACTGCTAAGCATGTCTACTTAAAGACATAAAACAGTCATTACACATGTTTTTTATTTACTCAGGCAGCCTCCTTAAGATCAAAAATTACAACCCATTTACACATTTACATTTTACAGGTTGTATACATGTATATCCTAAAGTGAGAGTAATCATTTTCACTTTCAGTTTCTGACACAAAGCTGTGGCTATTGTTGCTCAATCTTGGAACCGTCGGCCTATCAGTCTGGCCACAATCAGACTCTGGGAGCGATGACTAATATATCGGGGCCAATACCTTCTTCTCTGTCTGAATTTCAAACTCAACCAGAGAAATTAAAAACCATAAAACAGAATCAGTCAGTAGGCCAGGAAAATACGGTTTATAAAAAGAAACAAAGTCAGATCCTTTTACAAAAATCACATTATGCTCTTATTTTTCAGTAATGTTGTAATCCTGCGAATCTCCAAATGACTAAAACATTATTAGCAGCTACTGGGTTAAGCAGCTGCTGGGATGGCAATGACGTTCAATCCAATGAGAATTTCCCGCCTGGCACATACTTGCTAGTCATGTGGGCCTCTGAAAATGTGCGGCAGTGTTTCTGACACTTTTTCCTGCCCTCAACATGACTTAACATTGTGGGATGTCTTCTACTCTTTCTTCTTCTTCTTCTTCTTCTTCTTCTTCTTCTTCTTCTTCTTCTTCTTCTTCTTCTTCTTCTTCTTCTTCTTCTTCTTCTTCTTCTTCTTCTTCTTCTTCTTCTTCTTCTTCTTCTAATTTTACAAATATATAACCTCCATGGATCAAGACTCATTATGGAAGGAGTCATAATTTACCTATTTTTGCTTTTTGAAATGTTCAAATGTCGACTGTTTTACAGAAATCTCTTTACAGTAGCATTCTATGGGGAAATGCTGTCCCAGAAGCGGGCTACTTTCACTGCAGTAGTGGCCACTGGGCAAATTGGAACCAAATGGTGGTCCCGTATTCAGTAGTTATTGTACTTTCATGGCTTAAAGTCACGACAGTCTCACAGAGCTGGTACATATAGACTTTTTGTATACTCTTTCTTTACAGTTATTATTCAATGCAGCAATAACCCTTATACCAAAAAACATTCACTATATACACTTTATATTTACTGAAATAATAGCAAATGTGGGAGCCAAAAGATTTGATCATGTATCCTCTTCTTCCTCTCTATATTTTATTAAATCTTGATTCAATGTCCACCTCCAATTTGTATAATAGTGTAAATATCCTTTTATATTAAATCTAAATTCAAATAGATTACCTCAATTCTTAATACTACAGTTATCGTGTTCATTTTGTGAAGTGTTATTAAAATCTACTTTCATTTTTCTGTCCGCGGTGCTGTTGCTCTCAGACAATTTTTGGTTATCTGCCTGAGTGCTGCTACTCTTAAAATTATAAAGAGGTACTTATCAGATTGGTGAATGTAAGTGAAGTGTTTTACCCTGGGGTAATAACTCCAACCCCTAAGAGAGTGTGCATTGAAGTATAATATCCATAATTTTGCGTATTTCGTCCCCTGGTAATACGAAGGTATAATGTAGTTCAAGTAAAGCTTGTAAACACTATAAATTAAAACAGACTTTAATTTAAACAACAACAAAAACCTATAGTTATTCTGTATATGTAATCAAATGTATCTGTACCTCAAAAATGAAAGATTGGGCATTTAAATAACTGGACAGTAACAATAAACAATATGAATTAAAAGGTTTTTACTGCTGATATTTAACTCTATTCCCTCTAACCCAACTTCTGACTTTTATATTCGTACAATATAATACATTTTTATAGCACAGTTTCAAATAACATGCATGTTTATAATGATCATAACACATTATTATTGATTCCTTACAGAGGCATATCATTCTTTTGGAAAGATTGAGAATGATTTTGAATGACAAAATTGCACTTAAAGGAATAATTCACCCACAAAATGACAATTTGTATTAAAATGTCTCTCCCCATGTTACCATGAATTCTAGAAATGTATTTTCTTGCAGGCCTCCATGGTGAACAAAGACTCCAAAAAATGGAGAAATGTTTGGATCAATAGAAGTAAATGGGGGCCGTGTTTACATCAAAACTGTATCAAACATCCTATTTAATTTTTTAAATCCATGTTTTGATAAAATGTTGCTGTTATTAAATGTAGCCCCATGTACTTCCATTCATCAAGACTTTTGCATTTTTTTTAATTCTTCATTCACTGTGGATTCTTGAAAACATCACATTTTAATCTTCAAGACTTCAAGGTAACACAGGATGAGTAATAGATTTACAAAGGATCATTTTGTGGGTGAGGTATTTCTTTAATGTATCACAAAATCAACACCATTTTACGAAGCCTATTGAGAACTGTGGGAAGAAGCAACAGGGGGGGGAGGGGAGGTTACCCTGAGACTATGAAAGAAAAACACATAAGTAACTGCATTGAAAAAGCAAAACTCATGACCACTCAACCTGTGACTAAGAATAGCCCAGACTTGTATAGTGAGCTAAATAACGGAGGGGAATGTAATGCATTTAACTGTGGAGAATGTGACGGGGGTCATGAAACACAGCCGCGTTCTGTTCTATCACTAAACAGTAGGGAAGAGCACAAGGTTTGACGCACTTGCAGAATTCATGGGGCTCCTTCTCATAATGTAACAATCAGGCTGTATGTCAACAGAGGTGGAAGACAGCGGGACAAAAAGAGCTGAAGCGCACTGATATACCATTCGGATATCACTCAGTAAGAAGAGGCGAGAGACTATAGGGAAACATATTTCTGATTCAGCTGCATCATGAATGCTGAGAGACACCTTCAAATGATCATAAGATAGTGCAGTTCAATTTCAATATGAAGCGAGCAACATCTTTGGACCTCCAGGACACAAAGAGAATGTGAGTAAACGATGTGTGCCATGTTGTTACGATACGCGGTACGGTACGGTGCGATAATACTTTATTGTCACATCAAGTCTGAAATGTTTCTTGCATCATAGCAGCGACATTTGCAACAACAAGGACACATTTAAAGACAAGATACAAGGAAACAGACATTTAACTTAAAGGTCACCTATTATGCAAAATCCACTTTTTCATGTCTTTTATCCATAAATATGTGTCCCCTCTGTGTAAAGAGATTCTGAACGTTTCAGGAAAGAAGATTCCCTCTCTTTTTATCCTGATCCATCGATATAAAACCTGTCTGAAAATGAGCTGATCAGATTTCGGCCACTTTATGATGTCATATCGTTTTTGGCTTGTGTAACCATTAGCCAATCACCAACCAAGGTTTATGGGATGCTACAATGATCTGTTTGGTATTTGGAGCCAAACACTTCAGAGACATGTTTTATATATAACTGAGACCTATAATATATTGATGAAAAACAGTATAGGGGACCTTTAAAATTACAATCCCTGAAGACAACATTATCAAGACCCTTTAGCATCCATTGATCTTGGATTAAACTCTGTATTTATTTTTAGGATTAATGGTTGCTAAAATAATTTTCCAGGCTAACCTTATTAAATCTTTTGACTCTGTAATCTTATTTGATGTTAACACAAATTATTTGCTGTTGGCAAGCCTTAATATGTTATGATAAGTTTCTCGAAATATAGTGGTCTCTGAGTATAGACCGCATTGTATATATAGAATACAGAATAAGTTAATAGACGGTCTACCATAAAAAAAATTCTCAGACTTTTTTTTGTTATCCTCTCTTGTAGACATAACCCTTGGAAATCCAAAATCCAGAACTTCGTCCAGAGTCCATTACCATGGCGGAAATTCAACAGGTGTTGTTTTAATTTACTTTATAATAATATTGTGCTGACTAATGTTTTGACAAATCACAAAAACCTTCTTGTCTTCCCTCTGCAGACAAGAAACAAATGAAACGAGCCCACCGGGAGAATCTCTCGAGACCGTTCTTTCCCAGAAATGTAATTTTCATCCGCTTTCAAGCAACACAAAACTAATATCACGCTTGGTTTCTGTTTTCTTTATAATGAAGTTTTGTTCCCTTGTGTAAAAAAAAAAAAGTATTTCGGGACTTTCTGAAGTCAGAGTTCTGTGAGGAAAACCTGGACTTCTGGCTCGCCTGTCAAGAGTTCAAAACCTCTAAGCGTCCAGAGGAGCAAACTCGCAGAGCAGCAAGAATTTATCAAGAGTTCATCAGGGATGAGTCTCCAAAACAGGTGAAAACAAACTCTATTAGGTGACTGAATATGCTCAAACCATGGCAGAAAGCATAGTATATGTGAATATTGGTTGGCTATATATTCAAATTTGCTTATAGATGTCCCTCAATATATTGATGAATTGGTAAGTAATTGGTAATAATAGACACCTTGAAACCAATGACAGAATAATTATTAGTCTTTGTTAACTTGGCAGTATATAGTCTACATCAGGGGTATTCAACTCAAATTCAACGAGGTCCAGTTAGAGAAAATCTCCCCATGCAAAGGTCCGGAACTTCAAAATGTCTAACTTGCTTTATGAATTAGTGTGATATATATTGAAATAGCCTGTAGCTTTATCAACGTCTGCATGTAATCAACAACTGACTGCCAATCAAATAAAGAAAGTACAATTCATAAACAACAATATTTATTGTCAATTAACGTTGAACTATACAGATAGGCTACAGTAAAATACTGTGGATATGTATGTGTAATGTTCCTCTCGGGCTGCATTTAAAAATAAAATAAGTTTTGAAAATGTGTGCATCTTAAAAGTGCTTAATTTTAGATAAATAAAATAAAGTGTAGCAGCAGCTTGGGTTTCTCTTTTTCTTTGTTAACCGTTTCACATCATGACTTAACAGTTTCAGACGATTATAGAACAATATCAGTCTTTACACATCATAACAATTGAACAGTTGTAAAGTTTCTCTTTCTTTCTCTCTTATATTGCAGTCCCTCACTCACTTTTCTTTAATTCAGTGCGAGAATTGAGCTTGAGCTTGTCCTGCCAGGAGTTTGGGCTGAAATGGTGTCAGGGGCCAGGGGCATTCTCATACACACATGCAGGTGCTCATTGGTTAGCCTGTTAGCCTGCCCTGGAACGATATTTATTTTGTGTGAGCTCAGTTCTGACTTGAGAGGGAATGTTTGGTCAAACACTTTGTGTTTTGTCTCATAGTGGCGTTTTGTCACTTTTAATGAGTGCCACGGTCTCTGAACAAATGAGACACACTGGTTCTGTGCTCCCAGTGGGCAGGATGAACATGAATGAGTCCGTCCACTCAGGGTTAAAAGCTCTGTTCTCACTGTCCACTTTCCTCTTCTTGGAGAGCGCCATGTGTAATTATTTGTCTCTCCCTGTCTGCCGCTAACACGCCTGTTCACTCTCCTCTCCGCTTCTCTCCCTGTATCGCTAATTATTCTCTTCACTCACTTTCCTCTCCGCCTCTCTCCCTGTATCGCTAATTATTCTCTTCACTCACTTTCCTCTCCGCTTCTCTCTGAAGCTCTCTCGTCTCTTCTTCTGTGTTTCTCTCCCTGTATCGCTCACTCGTCTCTTTCGCCCCCTGTCGGCAGCGGTTCAAATAGAATCGCCCCGTCAAAATTGAAATCCCCTATTAATGTATTTATTGATTATAGGTCCGGGTCCGTAGGTCGGCGTCTGGGTCTGGATCTGGACCGTGGTCCGCCTGTTGCCAACCCCTGGTCTACATCTACATTTTAAAGATCAGCCGTTTGGAGATTTGTTAAGGTCTCAATTTTCTGCACTAAAGTTGACCAAGGTCCCGACTCTTGTCAGATGAACAATGTGTGAATGAAAGTTCCAAAAATAGGCCAGGATCTACAAGACCTAGGGTATCTTTTCATACTGGAATAAAAAAATATGTTTAAACATTTTTAATTAGGGTCTCCTGTTACCATCTAGCGGTGACAGGGGAAAGACACGGGCACATGTTTTGTATTTGTTTTATCATAAAAACCAATGCTGTTAATTGTATGTGGTCATGAAGATCGTAAGTCATGTAGAATAGGTGCACGGGCCGAAGGATCTGTGGAAGGGTGTGTGTGTGTTATTGACCAATTCTGGAAAATGTGTATGTTTATGACTGGTTATAGGCTGAGGGGATCCTGGGGGAATGGGATCCAAAAAGTCAGGAGAATAAAGGGATTCTGGTTCCCAGTGGGAGGAGCAGCCAGAGCCAGAGCCATGGTCTTGAGGCGAGCTGAGTCCCGGAGAGGGCTGGCCGGGCAACGGGAGCCCAGGAGACGGGCCACGGGAGGGATCAGAGTGGGTTAGTGAATGGGTACATGTGACCCTCTTATGGGGCATTTCCACCATGGCGCGGAGCGCGGTTTAAGCGTGCCGTGTCGTGCCGGGCCCGTTTTTGGTTGCGCTTCCACTATGCCTAGTTCCGGCCCGGGGGTACTTTTTCACCTCTTTTCTGGCCCGACAAAATCGTGGTTCTATCGTGGCCAACAAACAGGGCTGAGTCGGGCTGAGTTTGCTAAACTAGAGAGAGAATCGCTGGCAAGGGGGCTACAACTACAACAAGATGAACATATTTGACCGTGATTTAATTGTAATACACGTTTCAAAATGATGCCGAAGTAACAACATACTGATACCGGTTAGTAAAAACCATGAATTAATGCTTTGACAAGTCTGCAGACAGACGGCAGGTGAAAAACCTTTTAAAATGCGTGTTTTCTAAATGGAGATCGGCTAAGCTAACGCAGTATATGCTCCGACCGTCCACACTCACAACAACGGCCTATAGACATAAATAAAGCAGCGACTGTATTCGCCATGACACAGACAGTCTGTGGTTTGTACTTGTTTAACTTTTGTCTAGTTTCTGAACATATATAAGGAGCTGTGAGCTCTGAGTGCTAACAGCTAACGGCTGTGTTGTTTTTCTGGGGTTCTCATTGAAGATGACGTCACGGCTCCGCCTACACTGCGTTACTATAGTAACTACCCCAGTTCCTAAACTGTAATGGAAGCGCAGCATGAAGTGAGCCGGCCCTAACAAGGCCCAACGCGGCCTAGCAGTACCGAGCGAGGCCGAGGCCGACCGTGTGGTGGAAATGCGCCATTAGTCCCTTTCATCACGAACCCTCCCTGTTTTGGGGTGTGGTCTGAAGGAACCCGTCGACCGGCCGAGCCCGACCGGAGACCAGCCTCTCCTGTAGGGGGGAGACACAGAGGAGAGGGGTGGTTAGGAACGGAGTTTTTGGAAAAGAGGTGTCTCTTTCTAGTGGGCTGAAGAGGGGATTGGAGGGGAGGGGAGGGAAGGGGGGGAGACTCCTGTGTAGGAGTGATCAGGGAGGGAGAGGGGCGGTTAGGAAGAGACTTTTTAGGAAAGAGGTGTGTCTTTCTCGTGGACTGAGGAGGGGATGGGAGGGGAAGGGAGGAAAGGGGTGGACAGGGGAGGGGAGGAGACTCCTGGGTGGGAGTAATCAGGGAGGGGCCCTTAGGTTTAGGGCTGGGGAGAGGGGGAGGGCTCCCCAAGGACTGTTGAGGAGACCTACGTACCTTAGGCTTAGGGTAAGGGGGAAGGGGAGGTTCTCTCAATGGTTGCTGAGAGGCCTGGAGGGGTCTGGGGTTGAGGACAAGGTTTGTGAAAGAGCCCTGGGTAGGGCAGAATGACTTTGGGTCAGGGTAGGGGATGAGGTTGGGGTATATACCCTGGGTGGGGTGGGGGGTCTTAGGATGCGGAGAAGGGATGGGGAGGTTAGAGGGGGAGGAGTTCAATGAATTTTGTACAGTGGTTACCGTTTCCTGGGTCAGCCTGGGGCCATAACGTTTTCTGGCCCACCCTGTGGCGATCTGGAAAGCTAGAGGGTTAAATGGGGAGGGTCTGGGTGTATGTCGTGTGTTTTTGTAGTGTTGTTGCAGTATGATCATGTTCGTATGCATCCAGTTGATTGTGTTAGCATGTATCTGTGTGTGTGTGTGTGTGTGTGTGTGTGTGTGTGTGTGTGTGTGTGTGTGTGTGTGTGTGTGTGTGTGTGTGTGTGTGTGTGTGTGTGTGTGTGTGTGTGTGTGTGTGTGTGTGTGTGTGTGTGTGTGTGTAGTCAGTTGGGGTGGATGGTTTGATGAATGCAGAGAGTCTAGTGACTTGTCTGAGCATACCTGGGGGGGAAGGTGTGTGTGGCAATGGCTCTGTCTGTAGTGCATTCATGGTGTGTGGCCTGGATGAATGTGAGGTAATGTTTGGTTAACTTTCTGGTGGATGGGTCTAGTGGTTTGTAAAGTGTTTGTGTGTGGCTGGGATATGAGGCTTTGGCTCCATATGTGTAATTAAAATCAGTGTGTGTTGGCTGTGCATACTCTCCACGTCCACTCAACTGCACATACTGGGCTCTGGGTGTGAACATTAAAACTGTGTGGGCTCTTACCTGGGTAGGTTGTAGGTGGGCCTGGTGAAGACGTTCCGGGGGGTTGTGGTTGGAGGTCTTTGTAGATTTCTTTTTGCAGGTCCAAGTAGGATGGTTGTGAGTGTCTCCTTTTTAGAGTTCCAGGCGGTGGTTTCGGGAAGGTGCAAGGTCCCAACAGTTTAAAGGAAGTGTCTGTTTTGTATAGGACAGATAGAGTGCTTCCATATGGGGCAGAGCCCAACACAACAGTTAAAAGTTCAACATTTTAATTAACGCAAATTGAGAAAGGTTTAAAAAAGCTTGCATTTAAAAGCACTGGTCAATTTTAAAATAGAGTACCGTTCAGTGTAGCTGAGTGGAAGTGCCTCCTCGACGTTTCGAAAGGGTGTATCTTCTTCAGGAGGGAAGGGCTAGGGTTAGGGTTAGGGTTAACCCTCCCAACATATAGGTGATTACTGCCCTGACCCAACATCGAAACTAAGCATGGGACAAGAGATACATCATTTAGTTTTCACATTAATAGTAAATGTATTTATTGCACAAATGACGAGAAGTGGCATTTACTAGAAAAAGAATCAAGTATTGAAAGTCCTAAAAAAACCTCTGACTTGTATCATTTACTGTACATCAACCACAGTAACCAATATTTGAAATAGTTCCTTTCCAACAATAGTTATGCAGGTGCAGCTGTTGATTGCAACATTTTACATTGAATCAGCATGTTTCAGTTATTCAAGTTGTGTTTATTTTACATTTGTTTGCAGGTGAACTTAGATTTCTACACAAGAGAGATCATCAGGCAGAGTGTCCGGCAAGCATCTCTGTCATGTTTTGTTGTGGCACAGAGGAAAATCTATAGCCTGATGGAGAACGACTCCTTCCCCCGCTTTAATGAATCGGAACAATACAAAGTCCTGTTTGATGCGGCTTCTAAGCAGAGAGGCCATGGGAAGCACAGAAAGGCCTTGGCGATAAGGAGAAGCAGAGATCTGATGCAGCCCGATTCTAAAGCCATCAACATGCAGTGTGAGCTCTATCTCCTGCAAAAGGACTGACTTGTTCAAAGAGTCAGACACAAGCTCAGGAACTGTGTTCACTTATACTGTGCAGACACTTCTCCCTTCCTCATAATGTCACCTTACAATTGGAAAGCTGTGTCTGTGCAATGGACAATGCATTGCAGGTGCCACCTGGTGCACAAAACCAAAGGCTAAAGTAAAGCTTGTTGGGCTTCTTAAAGGTAAACCTTAACAGGTGCAGGAATTAGTCCTGAAAACCGGGAAATTAGTTAACAATTTACGATTGCGAGGTCCCTCATCTAAAAAAAACAGATCTTTACGTTTTGTTCTACAACATAAAATACAGTCTGTTAATTCCACACAGGTGAATGCCTAAAGCTTTCATGTATCATAAAAAACGGTGGATGCCAACAAGTGCTGGCTAAAGTAATCTACTAAAGGTCATCACTACTAATATTAGCTCGCTTTAGCTTAGCGGTTTTGAAGTGCAGCCATTCGACCATGATGTAGTTTGTATGTTAGCTTTTCATTTGAGGCGATTACGTTACCTTTCAACAATCATCAAAGTGGTGTTAATATGTGGAGATAATCCTGTTGAACAAACCGTGTAAATTGCCTATCATAACATGTGTTTGCCACAGATTTTATTTTATGGATATTCCAAAATCCAATGGAGAAATATCATTTACTTTTTTGCAGAGGGGAGCCCTTTTAATGATAACTTCAGGGACAGCCTACACAAATACACCATAACTGCACCTCTCCATATGGTGCTAAACAAATACAATGCACATGACTGCAGGACTGTTGTGTATTTTGAAATTGTGCTGGTTAGACACTGTTTATGGAAATGTGAATGGTTTTGCCAATTTGTATGACACATTGAAATATTACAGACTTTATTTTTTTGTTATTTCATTAAAACAAATGTATAAACTGAGATATGGATGTGAGTCTTCATTGGTGTCTTAAAGATGTCTTGTTGATGTCCTACTGCCACCCAGTGGTGACTCGGAAAACTTACACTCAAAATGTCAATATTTTAAGAGATTTCTTTAAGGTTAACCTGGTATTTTTACTACATTTATTTTAGTTACTTTACAGATTTGGATTAATGATGTGAAATATAAACAACCCTTAAATCAGACTTTAGTTACACCTGAGTAAAATTCAGTGAAGGTGATTGTCAAGTGCAAACAATCAGGCGAGATATTTGATAGTTGGTGCTTGAGAAGACAAAAAATGTATCTGCAGATCCCTATAAAGCATATTCATTACTCGTTATTCTCTAATTGTTCATCAAAGACTGTATATAATGGCTGTTTTGCACATCCCTTTCAAGATTTCAAGATTTTCAAAGGTTTATTGAAATATCATATACACAACTACGGTGTAGTTATGCAATGATGACAAACTTGGGTCATAGGTTCCTCAACAAGAGATCTATCAATATGTGTATACCTCCACCATTAAACTGTCATATTCTGCACATTTCTTATTCTATCTACATACATCTTATAAGAGTATAATAAATATGTATAATATCGGTTAAAATAAGTGCTTCAACATAGTTAACCCGCCAGGGGTTCCACCAGCTCCTGCTCTCCATCCCAGTGCTCTGGCGATCCATCTGACAATGGAGGGGTCCCATCCCGGCCTACGCCGTCTTCCTGCCCGTCCTCCGGAGCTGTCCCGGCGCTGCCTTCCTGCCCGTCCTCCTGAGCTGTCCCGTCGCCGCCTTCTTGCCCGTCCTTGTGCCCGGCCCCCTGAGTTCCCGGCCCCCTGAGTTTCCCAGCCACGGCCTTCGCCCTCGAGCCCGGCCCCCTGAGTTGCCCGGCCCCCTGAGTTCCACAGCCGCGGAATTCGCCCTCGAGCCCGGCTAAACCAGTATTTCATTTAGGCGGTATTTACCGGATTTACCGACTGGGGAAATCTGCTGAAGTCTGGCAAATTAAAATCTATCCAGTCATTATGTTTGTTAAAAAACAATTTCCTAGTAACACAAGCGATTATGGAGGTTTGGATTTCTCAACTATCTGTCTCATAAGTGATTACAGTGAAATCTTTGCATAATTGTTTTTAATTTATTTGCACTATGCACAAGTCTGATGAGGGGACCATTTGAAATAGCCTACTTTTCAATTAAATATACATCTTCTTGATGTCATTCTTCATATAGCCTTCCTAAAATTAGTTTTTAAGCTTAATGTTGGGAAAATACTGAATGAACTCTTTCAATATCAGAGTGCATGATAACAAAGGCCCAACTGTAGCTGTGTACATGACAGGATGTATGATTACCTAGAAGAGCATCAGGACTGTTTTAGGCATATGATAGCTATGTGATTAACATGATGATTCAGCCTCTATGGAGATAGACATATGACAAGCATGATCCTTTCTGACGTTGGTCTTAGCCAATCTAAAACTAAACATTGTATACTGCTTTGAACCGGTATTCTGCATCTTGTGACTGTAACACCCTCTCTTGTATATCAGCATGTGAAGGACACTGTTCAGGAACTAGTTGTACCAAATGCTCTGTATGTGATGACTACTTCCATTCTTGCAAGGATAATAAATACATGTATCCTGATATTGAAGCTCAACCCGGTGACGAGTGATATTTTCCTAACACTTAATAATAAAAACAGATAATAGTTAATCAGAATCTCTCCCATTTGTGTGGGACATTGAATTATTCCGAAACACGTTGACCAGAACCAATTTCTTCAGAAACGCTGTTCAGTATAATTGAGGAATAACGGCATTTTATAACCATCTGTAATTACCGGCTGCATTCTGTCACAAATGATCTTTCAGTCACTCTATGGGACACAAGAATAGTTTTATTATTGACTACACTGAACATTCCTTGTTATTGTGGTCTGTTTCTGACCTTTCTGCCTCTCTGTGTTGCAGATCCCGGGGGGGAGCACGGACTGCACCCTGCCCATCTCCTGGGCCACAGAGAGCGGGAAAGCTGTAGACGTGTTCATCATCCTGACCAACAACCCTGTGTGGACGTTCACTGCCAGCCCAGTGCATTCTCTGAAGAAGCACAGACAAGTACATTTACTCATTTATGTCTACTAGGGGGCAAGCTAGCATTTAATTGAATAAATTCCTCTTTGATAAAGATTGTTTTAGAAAACTACAATAACAGCAGGACAATTTATATTCATATTCACTTCATATTGAGGGGCCCAGACTCAATCAGGCTGATGGGATGAGGTTTATTTTGCTATCAATTTCCAGAATAACTTGACATTGAACAGTTTATGTCACTCCCCCCTGCCTGAAACACCTCCTTTGGACTCCTTTGTTTACTTCCGTAACATAGTGACATCTCATAATGTAACACTTGCGCTTCTATTGGATAGCGCTCCAACACACATTGTGTGATAGCCTAAGGGGCGGGACATCTCTAAGCGGTTGAGCAATCGCAACAGAGCCTGCCAGCTAACCAATCAGAGCAGACTGGGTGCTCTTTTGAGACAGACTGTGAAAAGAGGTTCTGAAGCGAAAATGAACATGATGGGGCCCCTTTAACTGTATGACAACTACTGAAATACTGCAGCCCCCTTTATAGATATTGATTTTATAACATATAGATTTTACATTTTCAGCCTATATTGGCTTTAAAATAAGGGAAAACATAGCCATGCTTGTTGCAAAAATTATGAATAAAAAAATCTTATTTTTTATGTATTTTCTCAACAGCAATCAGGAGCCAATTCCAAGCTGGTGATGTGCTGACCTCCATCAGACACGCCATCGCAGACACAGAGGACAGAGGTTTAGTGAGCATCTGTGGCTTCGACCTCGGAGCTTTCAGCGTTATTCGTAACCTAGCCCAGGACCTGATCTAATAAAAGCAATGCAACAGTCATAAGAGCACTAAAAGAAGGCACTAGTTAGCTCACTTAGCATGTTGAGTGCCCTACAGCACTAATCCAAAATATATTGACCTGAACAATTCCAATGTATCTATTTGTATTATGCCGCTTACGAGTCATTTGACAAATTGTCCAGCGGGCTGGACAACACTCAGCAAATATTATGTGCATATGTTTTCAGTGCCATATGTACCAGCCAGGATGCATTGCAATGCAATGCATATAACTCAGCTTTCCCAGTTAAAATAGTACATACTGAGGAATTCTAGATTCAATGGACTTCACTTTTTTATGATGATCACTGATCGGACAGCCACTTCAAAAGTGTTACTCTTCTCCTTCAAGTGCTTTGATGGTTATTGGTGGGACACCAACCCACTAACCAAGAAATTCTGATCATTTATTGCAAGATGTTGGCAAATTGAATTAGAGGGACAATGTAAGAGTCTGAATGTTTGAAGCTTAGTAAAACTAGTTTAGTATCTAGACTGATGTTTCTAGTACGTATCTATGGTGTTCTTTTATCAGGTTTTATGTTATGTTAGAGCATTTCATATCTGGAGCCTGTCCCTCCGTCTCATGTAGCATTATTATAAATAATTAACAGATATTCTGTAAAATTACAAAGCACCAGAAGTCAAAGAACTGCAATGAATTCCGTTGACTTCTCCAATTCTTTGATTAGTCGGTCAGATCTTTTTTTTTAAAACACCAATGTCTAGAACTACATTGACACAACTTTTTACTTTGCATTAAGTACAATTTTTAGATGTATTAACATTTTTATTTCTTATTTGATTTTTCCATTCTGCTCTTGTTGAATGTATCCTATAAAAGAATAACCTTGGTGCTTTTCAATGTGATGACACATTTTTGGAGGATTATTTGGGAATTTTTCCTAACGCCAATGTTTTGGACTATAAATCAGTTTACTGTAGTTGGACAAATAGACAATTTCTCCTATTTTTGCCTGAAATAATGCATCACAATCTAAGTTTTTACAGAATACAGAAAAGACAAATCATTGTCATTTAACTTATGTTTACCCTGTTACCCCAGTAGTATTTCTGTATTTTACGTCAGAATTGTTGCTATGCAAAAACAAACAGATAACTGCTACCTTCCCAGAGTAAAATTAATTGAATGTACTTTTGTTGAACATTTTACTCAAGAACAGATGAAACTGTATTATATCATTCTTGCAGCACCTGCTAAATGTCCTTTATCTAGGTCAAAGCACCGCCTATTTTATGTTTGACCTAACAAACCTCTTTTGGCTGGCAGCATTAACTAAACAATTGCCACTCGAAAATGTGTCAAATGACTCGTAAGCGGCATAATACAAATAGATACATTGGAATTGTTCAGGTCAATATATTTTTGGATTAGTGCTGTTTTAGGGCACTCAACATGCTAAGTGAGCTAACTAGTGCCTTCTTTTAGTGCTCTTATGACTGTTTCATTGCTTTTATTAGATCAGGTCCTGGGCTAGGTTACGAATAACGCTGAAAGCTCCGAGGTCGAAGCCACAGATGCTCACTAAACCTCTGTCCTCTATAATATAACTTTTTATGAAGAGTAAGGAATTCCTGACAATGTTCCTGTGTAGGAATTTCTCCATACATGCTGTTATTTTGAAAACAGTGTAGTGTCTGACCAAAGGTCAAAATGCTACAAAGCTAAAAAAATGTATATAATATGAGTGTTGTAATTAAAAGTCTGATAGGTATTTTTTTAAAGTTTGTCCACAAGTGTTACACCACCACGATTAACTTCATTCCTATCATGTCTGTTGCATCCATGTGAGAACTTGACTGTTATGTAAACCCATAATAAACTTTGCTGCTTCTCAATTATTATTTCGTTTGGCCTTCTATGTTACCAATGACTGTCTTAACATCCTGGAAATTAACATTACTTTCTTGCAGTGGTACAAGAAGTACTCAGATGTTTTACTTAAAGGTAGGGTAGGTAAGTTTGAGAAACCGGCTCGAGATCGCTAGAATTTGAAAATACACAACCGGAGAAAATCTGCCACTTCCTTATAGAGCCCCTCCTCCAACACACACGAACGCGCACATGACCAATGAGGGCACGAGATAAGTTTGTGCACAGATGGAAGGCTGACAGGCAGGTAGGCCATCCAGTTATTTTAGCCGGGCCGGCTAAAATGATTGGTCGTACTTTTTACAGTATTACGGCTTCCACAGATGAAATGTTTTTATGGATTTTTTGTCAAAGCACTTAAGATATTCACTTAAGATATTCATTGCTATGTTAAGAGCATTCCATGGAATATAACAAAAAGTGTATCTCGAGCCGGTTTCTCAAACTTACCCTACCTTTAGCATACTAAATTATAAAAGTACTATCTTACAAGTAACAGTCTTGCATTTGACATCTTACTTAAGTAAAATAACAAAAGTAAAAGTACTTGTTAAGCGTAATTTCAAAATAATATAGAATTCTGGGGAAATGATCATTGATGCATTCATTTGTTTCACAGCTGGTGATAATGAAGATACATTTAATTACTTTGTATACTGCTGCTAGTTATCTTTAATAACCTTTAATTATTTGCCAATGTTCATTTATTAGTTATTTTATATTATTGTATTAATAATGTTCATCTGTAAAGTAACTGTAACTAAAGCTCTCAGATACATTTTGTTAAAAGTACTATATTGCCTTTCAAAATGTAATGGAATAAAAGTAAAACGTAGCATAAAATGAGTACCACCAAATTGTACTTGTACAATACTTGACTAAATATAGCCTACCAAGTGTAGCCTACATACTATGGAAGGAGTGTCCTTGAGCAAGGTACTTGGACTCTAAACCGTATTGTGTCTGCCAGAAAAAACAACGCATTAAAAGTAGGAATTACCTTTATCTATATTGGATATTTAATTAAACCTGGCAAACGTGACGAAGATGTTTTTAATGGACGTTTATGTCTAAAAAGTTTGGTTCAGGCATCCTGCGAGGCCACATGATGTTGATAACCGGGGTCCTGGCAAACACACTACATCAAGACAAGTGAAGATGGCGGATGTGTTGAGTGTTCTCCGTCAGTATAACATCCAGAAAAAAGTAATCGTCGCTAAAGGAGATGAAGTTATTTTCGGGGAGTTCTCCTGGCCGAAAAATGTCAAGACCAACTACATAATCTGGGGGTATGTCACTGCTAAAACCTCTTTAAATCGCTTCTGTGGGCCCGCTGCTGGAGCTCATCGGTGCCTTGTGCTGCCACTAACGGCGGAGAGGCTCGTTAGCTACATGCTAATATGCTAACCTAACTCCTCTCCTCGCTGTAACTTAAAACTTTAAGCAGTCTTTTCTAACTTTATCCTAACACTAAAATACTGTTCATACACTATGAAGCCATCATCCGAATCCTTATGCATTTTGATTTATATTTTTAAATGTTTTTATGACATTGCTACAGCTAAACTTGCATCTGTGATGTGATGCTAACTAGTTAGCGACGTTAGCTAGCGTTAAGTTGTGTTCCCATGGAGTCAGGGGTACAGTGGATGAAGTGGAAACTTCATGTGTTTATTAGCCACAGTCATAAGCAGATTTGTTTATCTTGTAGAAAAGCTAAATTTAAGGCGGATAATTAGTTTGCTGAAGTAGATTAGCTAACCGGATAACTGTTGATAGTTCCGTAAATGTAGTGTCAGATATTAGCTTAAACCGGCACTGTACATTTCAGTATTATGCTATGACTCTCCAATGAACTCTCAGTAATGTTTCTGTTCCTCTTTGCTTGTTTTTCTACCTGCAGTACTGGTAAAGAGGGCCAGCCCAAAGAGTACTATACTTTGGACTCTATCTTGTTTTTGCTCAACAATGTGCATCTCCCGCATCCCTCCTATGTCCGAAGAGCTGCAGTAAGTGATCTAGAATAACTGTCAAAGTACCTGTCAGTGTCAGGTCGATCCTCTAATTCTGTTTAATTTGTTATCCCATATGCATCATATTATTATTCATAGAGTATTTTTGTGTGATTGCTTGTCGTTTATAGACAGAGAACATCCCTGTTGTCAGACGACCTGATCGAAAAGGCTTGCTGTCATATCTCAATGGAGAGAGTTGTAAGTAACATTTGTGAAATCATGTTGATTGTACATTGATTTTCTCATTCATACAGGATGTAAAAAAATGTCTCGTGTATATATAAACTCTTTCCTGCTTTAAATTGGATTAAGCATTATAAGTAAATGACAGTTCTCATTGATAAAGCCCTAAGAAGAGGGGCTTAGCTATACTTGGTCCGATTGGCAACCTATTAACGCAGTTTCTGACTTTGTGTTTTCACAGCTACATCGACAAGTATTGACAGAAGTGCGCCTATAGAAATAGGTTTGCAAAGGCCAACGCAAGGTGAGTTCACACTACGTACTCAAATGTGGTATTGCTGCACTGGGATATGAGATATTTTCTATTGGGGTAGTGTCCATATACCTTATATGTGACCCTATGTGAACTCTATCGAAATCAGTCGGAAGTCGCAACAGCTCATTTAAAAAATAAATGTGGATTTGCGGGAAAAAACGTTTTTCGGGGTTCGGGTGTTTTGTTTGATTTTAAACAAAGTCTTGGCTTTCAGAATATGAAACTTTTATTTCCAAAATCGCACGAAAAATACATTTTTTAAGCTTTTAAAGGGAAGATGACAGGCACCTCTCACTCGCACTCTGCTCTTCCGCAGCGCTGCTTCCCCTCCCTCCGGCTGAAATTATGAATGTAAGGCGTATAGTAATCATAATAACACGGCAGGGTCCGTGACAGTTTGTTTTCATCTGATTTCAATTAAACAAAGTCTTGGCTTTCAGAATATTAAACTTGTTTCGACAAATTCAGATGATAAATACAACTTTGAAGCTTGTAACAGCATAATTACAAGCGGAGAACGGAGTAACTTGACGTTACAGCAGGCATAACAACAGCCGGTGTTTCTTGTGAGTGTTTTCCCCGGGAAACAAACACAGTACACACAAATGCAAAAATACACAAACACACACACACGCATACACACACACACACTCGCGAGCTTCCCCCAGACCAGTAATCCAAACGAAAATATTTTCCCTCCGGACTATTTTGATCTATTATTAGCCGCTAATAATCAATCAGATCGATGGATTCCAGAGAAGAGGAAACTTTGAAGGCCTTTTTCTCAAAATGATGACTCGGTGACAGTCATTATATAATGTGACATATTTTGCTTAATATTTGGAGTACAAAAACAATCCTGATATCATTAGAACGCTAGGAATCTCCTCTTTCCAACAGTGTATACAACTCAAAATGGGTCTTCTGGTCAATGCGACTGATTTCGATAGAGCAAGTCACATAGTAGTGTCTCAGTCCGTTACAAGTTGGTAACTGAATTGACTCTCTGCAGTGAAATAATACAACTGTTCTACTTTTTTTTCAGTCAAACGAGCAGCTGATGAGGTATCTTCGGAAACCAAAAAACCAAGGATTGAGGTAAGCTGACATGAAATATCCTCCACTAACATTGGCTTTGAGTACTCAAATGATGGAGCTATTCCTCGAGTGGTTGCAGTACATAAATAATGTAATTCTAAAGGGGGTAACAATGTAATTGTTTATTGGTATCAGAAAAAATCTATAAGTTCCTGAATCGAAATAAATGTCAGGGAGCTTTTGTCCTTAAATGAGACCAAAATATTTGCAACCATATAAAAGAACATGACTATTTTATCTAAAATGTCGGTTACATTTAGGATTTAAGAGAATGAATGAACATGACTTCAAATATTTAGCATTAGATGATTTTGCTTATTAAATATTTAGTTCAGTCATTATACATTAAGCCAAAAGAAATTGGTCAGTGTGTATGTTTTGTAGTGAATAAAATGCATTCTTGTTGAAGTCACAAAAGAAATTGGTTCCTGGTAAACCATAGATATAACATTATTCATCCTGTTTTATTCTTTAGTTTGCTAACAGTGTGTACAACGCTTTCTCTTCAGGATGAAGAGCGAGTGCGTCTGGATAAGGAGCGCCTGGCCGCCCGTCTGGAGGGCCACAAAGAGGGCATCGTGCAGACTGACCAGATCAGGTATTGTAGCGGATATATCTCCTCACAACAAAAACAAAATCCAAATCAAACCAAATGCCGAATAAAGTCCATTGGCCAGGCACACATTTAGTTTGTACTGTTTATTTTCTTAGGTTTCAACCAAAACACTACCAGGAGCATTGGCTTTAACGTTTTCTCTTGCCCTGTTGAAATAACAACAATGCCTTTTGCCAGGAGCAAACTACTCCTCCACCTGTCTACCAATTAATACCCAATTACCTAGGCCTCAGAACAAAAGCATCTTCAACTACTACAATTAACGACACTAAATGATGATCAAATTACTCTTTACAAAACAGAAATGTGATGGATACAAAAAAATGCATTTTTATTTCTCCATTGCAGATTTAAGGAGATGTGTTGTGTTTTTGTTCAACTTGGCACATTGTCAGTACTAACAGCTCAATTTGAATGTAATTGGTGGATTTTGGGCTGCACAATGTTTTATTTATTATTTAATCATGGTTGCAAAGTCAACCTATAGAAAGCTACACTTTTAAACGTATGATTCTTTGTTTCGTGTTTGGTTCAGTGAAATAATGTTGGAAATAAGACATTTGGCATCTGAGGCTTAATGGGTGTCTACCAATCACAGGGTCAGTTGTTCAATCCCAGCCCCTGTAAAATGTCTCTGGTTAAAATACTTATCCCTAAATTGTTCCCGTAGGCACGTCTAATATATATATTGAAGTGTATGTAAGTCCCTTTGGGTAAAGGCTTCAGTTAAATGTAATGTTAAAAAAAAAAACGAAATACAGTAGAATGGCAGTCCTGTGTACGGTTTAATATCTGTTTATTATCGTTACAGCAGGGATATTAAACAGCGTTATCGTTTATATATTCCTCATATCGTGCAGTCCTACTGATTGTCATGTGTTACGACACGAAAAAGTGATCTTTTATTAAAACAATATCTTCATTTCACAAGTTATTATTGAAACGTGTGGTTGTGAAATTAATTTAGTTATTTTTGGCTTAATGATGGTTGGAAGGACAATAGCCGCGTTCCCACCGCAGTACTTTCCCCACTTTAGTTCCGAAATGTTGCGTTCACACCAAAAAGAGCCGGAACTAAAATGAGTTCATCAAAACCTTTTTACCCCCTTTTCCGTCCCTTCTAGAGAGCAGGTACTTTTGTGGGAGAAAAAGGTTCCTATGTCTGATTGGCTGGGCGGAATGCAAACCACGCCCCGTAAAACTCCCAAAAAGTTTTGTGAAGCTGCCATTTTATTATCCTCGCATTAGCATCATTAGCATTAGCATTAGCCCAGCGCAGAAACACAGAGACTAACTTATGGCAACACAAAAGAAAACATGGGAGATGAGGAGGTGTCGGCGTTCTGGCGATTTACTCGGAAGGCTTCAGTAGAAGCTGCTGGGAGTTTTGCTAAATGTTTAGACAAATTGCTCGTGTTACCGCCCTTACATGCTAAACTCTTATTGCACTATTGGCATCGAGCATTGTCCACATCGAGACAGGTAACATTTAACCACACCTCGGAGCGCTTCTCTCCGCCATCCCCGCCGTGTGTGTGTTGCATGCATGTAGCAGCCGCGTGTGTGTAAACTGCCCCGCCCCCTCGCACACAGACGGGGGAGAGAGAGATCTCGTCTGGATTGGAAAGATTGAAAATACATCATAGACGCATTTTTTTGTCTTTTTGCATATTAGAAACGAGTTGGCGACACCAAGACTGCGATATAATGTTTATGTAGCAATAATACATATCACATATATTTTTTAAATGTCTCCAGTACCGATAAAAAGACCGATAACGTTGGAGCTTAACGGCGCGTAAAACACACGTGATGACGTCACCAACGAATCGACGACTGAATTAGTTGGCAACTAATTTGGTCATCGATTTTAATCGATTAAGTCGATTAGTTGTTGCACCCCTAGTGTGAACGCGATCTGTACTTAGTTCATGAGAACTAAAGAGTTCTCATGAACTAAGTTCTGATGAACCTTTGTGGGAAAAGTACTGCGTTGTGAATGCGCCTTATCATTTTAGTTCACACGTCCATACTTGAGTGTTAGTTTCATGAGATGTTTTGTTAATGCGACTGGTGTGTGGATATGTCTGACGGTCTGTGTGTGGACCCCAGAAACACTAGCTAAAGCTCATGATAGTGCCTATTGGGATCCTAATAAAGATGCATATCTATTTAAATTAGGGATGCTCCGATCGGCCGCCGTTCAATATCGGCCGATATTCACTCTGCTGATCGATCGGTGCTCTCTATAAAGGCCGATCGTGAGAGCCGATCACATGACCTGAAATACATGACACTTTTCTCTGTGCGCGGCAAAACAAGCTCGCCAAAATGGCTTCACCGGTCTTTTAAGGTGTCCGAAAATGACAATAAAATAGCGGTATGCAACGTGTGTGTGAAGCAGAAATCCTGCAGCTCCGCCCGCTGTGACGGACCGGTGAGCGGAGCAGAACACTCACTAAGAGTTAGACCTAACACACTTAGCTATTTTATCTACCTCTGGAACAAGCTAAACTAGTTATAAATATATTTATTCTTCACTGTCGGGTCACTCATTACTGGATCAGTGAGCTGCAGGAGATACTGACGGGCTATCAGGAGAGAGAGAGGGGGAGAGAGGAAAAGAGAGCGCTTCCGCTCATTTCTCCCGTGTTATTATCCAAAGTTAATGTAAACTTGAATAATGTACTTCATTTGAATGTAATAATTATGTTGGTTGTTGTTTGTGGAAGCGCCAGTGAATGAGCCCCATTAACTGAGTTTTAAACATCACTTTAAATGGAAGATCCCCATAGGCCCCACCCACTCGATCGGTTTCGGCCGATACTGATTTCGGCGATCGGCCCCAAAATTGGCGATCGGAGCATCCCTAATTTAAATGATCTTCACTATCATCCTCTTCCTCCAGATCACTGTCTGAGGCCATGTCTGTGGAGAAAATCGCCGCCATCAAAGCCAAGATTATGGCCAAGAAACGTTCCACCATCAAAACAGATCTGGACGATGACATCACCCTGAAGCAGAGGAGCTTCGTGGACGCAGAAGTGGATGTGACCAGAGACATTGTCAGCAGAGAGAGGGTGTGGAGGACCAGGACCACCATCCTGCAGAGCTCCGGGAAGGTCAGAGTCCAGCTATTGGTATCCAATCACTGTGACTATTCATCCAACCACTGGAATAATTAACAAAGTATATTCCATAAAACAATTGATAGGAATAATAAGTAGAGAAATCAACAAATTATGTACATTTTAGGGATCCAACGATACATTGGCCTAACATCAGAATCACCCTGTGTTAGCTGTAACATTTTAATTGGCAAATATGGTAACATGCTCTCATGGCAGTAACCAATGTTTATCCGTTCCACTCGGCAATGTGACCAAGTACAGTTATCAAAGGTTACATTGGCTGTAAAAAAATGTTTGGAAAATATCTTAAAACTATTCCCTAACACATGCATGCTCTGTTATTTTATTACATACCATTTGATTAAATATAATTGTTTTGCTATTACATTTTTTTCGGGTTACAGATTATGAGGACAGCGAAAAAGTCAAACACTTGTTACTTCAAATCTTCTCATTGAGGTGCTAATTATAGCAGGCTAAAGGGGCTGCTGTATACAACAAATGTAGAAATGTGTGCTCATTCAAAGTAACTGTAATAAAGAACTGAGAGAAAGTTTGACCTTTTTTTATAAAAACAATTAGTTTCCTAGGCGAAATGAGTAATAAGTAACAAAACAAGAAACAGAGAATCTTGGCTGGAGATTTCCAATCTGTGCATATCTAGTAAAATATATAATATTTTTAAGCATTACCAGATATTCAATTTGTCATTATTGTGACCATTTAGCAGTGCCTTCAAACGGTGCATGTATGAGAGACTTTGTAACACTTAAATGTGCATACCTGATCTAAAAATGCCCCTACCCTATTTATCAAATGTGCTGAACTCTCTGGGACATTTGTGTCCGAATAAGACAGCCCAACTGGTTACTACACCCTGAGTGTGTAGCTAAATAAAAAGCCCAACCACTAGATGGCAGCAGCAGAATGTTTTTCACCCCGAGTGTGAGCTGGGAAATGATGAGTTTTTATCACTGAAGGACTTTGGCATGCTCATCTCAAATCCATTATATTGTCGAGTGGCCATATGTTTACAGTAATTATTCCGGCAGCCTTTAAACCACTTTCCATATCTAATCTGTACACAGATGGCCAAATCTAAAACATATCCCTTGCGCCACATCATTTTAAGAAGAGCATTTTGCAGTTTGATTGCTTTTAATACAATTTCATATTTATTTTACACAATTGTATCTTTGTTGCATTAGGTTCTTTTATTGGTAGAGTTTTGGGGTTATTCATTTAGGGGTCTTTTAATGACTGAATAATTAAAACCGTGTATTCACAGTCTTTTCCTTTTTTGTAATAAATAGACAACTTGAAAGCACATCATTCTATCCAGATGTGTTGCAAATGGTTCTAATGAAGGACAGTTTCATGTGTAAGCCTTATGTCTGGTCCCAAAAGCCTTGATGTAATTCACTTACTGTTGTTCACCAAATTATGAAAAAATCATTTATTTTGTGCAAGGTGGTTGAATTCGGCACATCCTTCTCTCTCCTGTTCCTCTGCAGAACTTCTCCAAGAACATCTTCGCCATCCTTCAGTCGGTGAAAGCCAGAGAAGAAGGGCGCGCCCCCGAGCAGAGGCCCGCACAGAACACTACTCAAGTGGTAAGAAGGACATACCGTGTGCAGTAAATATGTGCTATATACAAGGATGTAAAACATAACTGAATACAGTGTTGGAGGCGGGTACCATTCATTCCTATGAAAGTTGCTCAGTGGCGTTTAAAGCCTAAATGGCCAGACTGCCAAGTACAAAAATATTGTATTATCCTGGGCTCTGGGCCCATAAAGCATGCTCATTGCTTTTACCTAAACCCCGCCTCCAATCAACTCTGTCACTTACACTCTAGGAGCTTGGTTACATATTCCTGTTTCTTCAGCTTTTTAAGAGAATATAAATCTGGCCAGACATGTGTCCACATATAGCTGAAAGCATCACTAAGCCACTCCTTAAATATATTATAGCCACGCCCCCTTTTCAGTCAAAAACAAAGAATTGGCGCTAAGCGGGAAAGAATGCTTGGACGACCTCAGAAATTGTATTTACTGCCAGTCAATTGACAGCAGATATTCGGACCCAAAAGGGGTAGACGTAAAGTACTCTGATGCGTTTCTCTCATAAGGCATACATTTCAATGGCAAGTATTCCTTTATTTATTTTAGAAAAAGATGGTGTAATTTATTTCCTAACAAAGCTCAAAATGAACTGAAAGGTTGTTATTTAACTTATTAAAGCAGTGGCAAGTCTATGAATTATTGCTTCGGTTTTGACCCTGTCGTGTCCTACTGACAGGCACATACAGTAACACATTATTTGTGTTTGATACATTCAGGACCCGTCCCTAAGGAACAAGCAGCCTGTCCCTGCCGCCTACAACAGATACGATCAGGAGCGATTCAAAGGAAAAGAGGGTGAGTTTGATTTCTGCTTCTGTAGCTCATTTTAATCTTCTACAAATGTGTGTGTGTGTGTGTGTGCAGTACTCGCTACATGCTTTGCCTATCTTCATTTACACATAGATGACAACGCAAATGGAATGAAAACAAAAAGATTGAACAAAGATTACCAGGTGTAACAGCAATCCTGTTCACAGAAGTCGACTTCCCCTCGTTTCATGTCCTTCACATAAATGAGGGCGCTTTTTACATGTGATATTTGATTTGACAATAAAATATTATCATATTGAAAATAATTTAAAGATCAAACATAGAGCTTCTGCAAATTCCCTTTTTCCCTCATGTTTTATATTGCATTTGAATCTGATATTTGTCAAATGTTCCTCATGTATGGTTCCTCAGAGTGTCATCATTGTATGTTATGCTTCTTTTTTTTAAATGTCCCATGTTATTCTGTCTGTAATCTACATATTCTGTGTTGTTTTTATAGAAACGGAGGGTTTCAAAATTGATACCATGGGCACCTACCACGGCATGACCCTGAAGTCAGTGACGGTAAGTGCTGATGGTGTTGTAAAGTGACTCATCCCATAGATACACTGCATGTTAATGCCACTCCATTTATAATTAAGGCTATCTGCTAGAGCATCTGCTAGCGTTAGCCCTCTATGTGTCATATTTGATAAGTCATTTTTCGATTACTGCCATGTAATGACTTACAGCATCCGACTTCCCACCCACTTAATCTGTCTTTTGTAGCTAAATGAACTTAAACAAACATGTTTTAAAATGTAAAAGGTAAAAAAGTAATGAGTAAAAAAAATAAAGTTGGTGACTGTAACTGTGACATGAGTAGTAGTCTGCGGAACTTTTGTGCTACATATGAATTTACTTTCTCAAATGTTATTTCCAGGAATACATATTATTGCATTACGTCGATGGATTTATAAAAACAACTGTCCCAGTTGTTGTCAGTGTGCAACAATCTCAATATCTAGTAGCTTGCGTCATCTTTTCCCTCTACTGAAATAACTTCATTGAGAATGTGATACACATGTGGAATCGTTTATTTGCACTGGCCATGTCCACTCTTAGTTTTCGAACAGTCTCTATCTGTAAGGCAGCATCTATAAAACACACACACACACATTATTGAAAAACAGTAGCCTTTGCACCACAGTGACACATCTTATCCCATTGTAAAATACACCGCTGTACATTAACCCTCCAGTGGTTTGACATATAAACATTTTCCACCTTTAGTACAAAATAGGCGATTTATTTTTGAGAATTTGAGTTCTTACACAACATGAATGCAGAATTTGGAGTCACCATATGGTTCATGTGTGGATTCATCCCTTGATCTCAAGGTAAGAAAAGCATAAGCTGAGATGACATTGTATCCAAACAAAAGAGTGTTTAATGATATTTTCTCAAGTTATTGAGCTGGTCTCTCTCTGTTCAGTCTGTTGGAGCGTGTCCTCCCTGCTCTCGATATGTTGATGCAAGCGTTGTGTTTGTTGATCTGCAAGTGATGCCAGTATTTCAGCAGTTCATTGGGATGGAACCCATGTGACGTTATAAGATGGCTGTACTTGCAGCTTGAGTAAGAAACACGCCAGTGGTTGAACAGGAACTCATTGGGCGGAGGAGTGGGCTCGATCCGGAGCTTGGCCAGACATACTCCGACATACACATCCTCCAGTTGCAGGTGGCGAATTCTTAGCGAAGCGCGATAGATTTTCATGGCCAAGTCTCCGGAAAAGACATAACCAGTACCAGAGCAGAAGGTGGGATACTTGTCGCCCGGGTACAACTCAGGGGGCATGTACCACTTGCTGTCTTTGTTCCGGTTGGGTGCAAAGTTTCTCATGTTATTTCCCGTGAAGTAGTTATTCCGTAGCTGCTGTTCTGGCCTGAGCAGCTTGTAAACGAGGTTCTCCGTGTTGACGAACATGTCGCTGTCCGTCTTCATGACGTATCCGGCTTCTGGGCAGTGAATAGCAACCCAGTTCATTCCCATCAATGTCTTATAGGTCAGGTTTTTGTAGGAATCCAGAAAGTCCTGCTGAATGATATCATGATACCTCCGGCTTTCTGCCTCCAGCATCTTTTGCTGTAAAAGTCCCAGCTCTCCGTCGTTTTTCCCCAGCAGAAAGAGCCGGATGAATCCCACATCCGGGGCCACGCTCTCGTTCCCCCATGTCTGTCGTATGGCATTTCTTGCCTCCACCTGCCGAGCCTCTGTGGCTATCAGCAAAACCAGAAATGGCGCGGGTCTGCTGTCTGCGCATTTGTCTGGCTCGTTGATGATATAAGTGAACGGTCCTTGGGTTATAGTGGCACTAAGATCTTCTTCTACACTTTGGCTAGTGTTGGCTGCCAGAGTGTTGTGAACACTTGGGTCCCCTTGAGGAGAGTAGACGGCATCCTTCTCAGGGGAGCTCATGTTGGCATTGGGTTTGAAAGTCGGCTGAGGGACAATGACGAACCTCCACGCTGAATGCGGGGCGCTCATGTTCCATTTGGCTTTAGTGGTATGAAGTTCACCACCCCCAAACACCACAGGGTGACCCTTCCACCACTGCATACCCGTGAGCTTAGGCAGGTGGACCAGAAACACCAGTAGACCCAACAGTGAGAGGAGATAGAGGAAGTTAGCGACGTGCGTATAGCAGTGCCGCCGTCTCCACTGCATGGTTTCAACAGGACCGATTCACCCACTCAGTGGTCACGTTTGTAAGGCCGATTGTCTTCTGACAAGTCCTCATCCCCTGGAGGCTGATTTATTCGCAGGATTGCTTAAAGGGCAAAAGTTGGTCTCATTTCCCATGTATGTTCATCACATGACAATCCCATACAATGATGTTGTCTGACAAACCCGCAGTAAGCTGCTATTCTGCTCTACTGTTGCATGTCATGTGATTGCCTAGGAGACAGAAGAAGACATATATGAGCAACAAGATACAGCATGTCACATTTAAATAGCTAGACTTTAATTATATGGACAACAAATAAGGTATGGACAACAAAGCCATGACATAAATATTCAGGGTACATTTCTAAGGTCAGTTAATTGTCATCAATGTGTAGACTTCAGTTAATCAACCTCCGTGTTCATGAAGTTGATTTAGCAAAAGCCAGAATTGGTCCCTTTCACTCTTTCGGCGAACACCCACCGCTCTAATCAGGCAGCTGCTATTGGATGATAAAAAGCTCTTATAACTGTATTGCTGCCCTGCACCAAACGACAGATGAACAATGTTAGTGACCAGCTGGTGAAAATATTGGAGCATTTAGCAGCCAGATTATTTCCCTCAGGAGTTGGACACTGATACTAAAGCTAAAAGGAGAGCCAATTTTTGGACTTACATTTATCAAGCAACCAAATGCACTCTAAATTATGTATTATGTTGCTCTGTTACTTCTCAAAAGAGGAACTGTATGCTCTGTTACTTCTCAAAAGAGGAACTGTATGCTAACAAATTTGACGTATAAACCCAAGACATGATATCTTCCTCTGCCCCAAGGTAGTATGCAATACATTTATTGTAGGTTGAGGTTTCCATGATCGTTTTATAATCCTAGTCTTTAGTTTTGAATCGAAGTCGGTTACCTCCTCTGTTGTCAAGATTAATCTTTTACAAAATCAAGTGCTTGTATTATAAAAAAATGTTGTCTATTTTTCCGTTTGTCTGAAAAACATGTATTCTTTTTCATGCAAATATCATAAAGTCAATCGACAAAATCTATTTCCCTTCTTGCCTTCCTGCCTCAGTCTCTCGTGGCCCCACAGATGAGGAACATCCAAATGCTAAATACTCTTCTAGGAACTTTTCCCATGCACATTTATAAAGATAAACATAATTCTGTATTCTGTAGGGTTAGTTCCCCAGCAGGCTAGAACAAAAATCAACAACATGCCGTTCACTGTAAACTTTCACACAAAGTCACACTCACTTTTTGCTTTCTTAATATTGAACTGGACTTTCTTCCAGGCGAAGTAACGTTTGTTAATAGTTAAACAACATACTTTGGCTCTTGAACAGCATCGGGATGAGTAATGGTTACAGAATGAATAGCCTGTGTTTGCATGCTGTGAGCACCCAGAAGTCGAGTGTGGTCTCACAGTTTTTTACTTAGTTACACACTACCCTCTTAAAGGACCCCAACGAGACAAAGAGTGGTTTGTGAGATCGCACAGAAGCCCTGAAAAGACTTCTGTCGGCTCTCTTGCATTAATCAACCAAAATAGAACTAGTGTTTCCTTTTCATAAAGACACACCCATCACATCCTCTACGGCACATAACTGAAACATTTGTCAGCTTAGCATTGAGGTAATTTGCATCTCAACAGCATAAACTCACCCGTTAGAATCTAGAAACTCATCTCTTTCTGGCAGCAATCGTTCTTGAATGTGATGCATTGCCCTTTTGGTCACTGCTCCCTGCTGTGCCTATAGCCACATCACAATCATAAGCAGCGTGTGCCTCCTCCATTTATTTCCCCTCGATGTGCGTCAAATCTTCTTTAACCCAACCCACATGTGGCTGCCCAAAATGAAGGGAGAATGTGGTCCTCTTACAGACACTCGTAGATGTCTACCACAGGCATGTGTCTAGGTGTGCGTGCGTGAGAAGGACATGTGCCTGAGCTCCAGTGTTGCAGTCTCTCCATCTTCCTTGGCGCATTGTCCCCCGAGGCTTCACGCTGCCGCCTTTGGCCAGCGAGTAGAGAGCCAGTGGTTGGACAGCTAGCTGGGTGCTTTAACTGCCCCTGCTTGTCCTGTTTTGTATATCAAACCAGCAGTGGTTAGATAATCTCTGCATGATTAACATGTCTTATATCTCTCCGTTGGTTATGCTTTTCTTCTATTTTTGTGCTGATGCTCGTTTCCTTTCGCTCTTTCTTTGATTCACATGCTCTGGTGTTGACATCCTTCCCCCTGTTCACCTCTTGCTCCATTTTCTCCGTTTCCATGTTCCTCTTTTTCACCCACCTCATTCACTGCGCTCTCTGCTGTGTTGTCTGCGAGACGGGTGAAAGCAGCAGCAGCAGCGGGGGAGGGGGAGGAGGAAGACGAGCAGGCGGTAGTGCTTTGCTGTGCTCTGAAAGGCAGTTCGAGGCTCGGTGGCGGTACGCTCTCCCACCACGTCACGCCGTCTCTGCTGCTGTTGCTGCCTGCTCTGTAAAAGAGGGGGGGGGGGGTTGGGCTGCTGACCTATTTGTATTCACGCCCATTCTCCAGTAAGAGGAATAAAGCACATCTCAATTTGGCATGATGTGAAGTAAGACCAGAGGAAAGAGCCCTTCCTGTCCGGACTTACACATATCTTGTGGATTTCCTGAACTGATTGAAAGACGTTACTGCTTACATGAGCAATGACGGACAAGCACAACTCAAAAGCCCATTTACTCGCAGTCTTAAATGCTTCCAATGCCAGTCTATTGTATCGGATGTGAATTGGAACAATGTTTCCGCTTCGCTCAGTCAGCCGTGGGGGTCCACAATGCCAGAATGTTCATATCAATGCATTGTCATTTAAATTTGACCAGACTTGCAGCACAATTTTTTGTCCTGAGGAAGCTTAGGAAAAATTGGGTGTTTTTTTTTTTTTTGCATGTGTGCTGATAGGTGTTTCTATCTACCTTTTCAAACCAGGCTTAAATTGTATCTTTTTTGAGAGATAAAGTGTTTCTTCAATTCACACAAGATTCAAAGTATCTCTCTCGGCAGACATATTTGTGGGTATTTGCTGGCAGCTACAATCTTTATGAGGCCAATAAATAAATGCAATATGGCTCATACATTGGAAAATGGCTAGAGACACAGGACAATGAAGCGTTATCCAGCAAGCTGTCAATCAAATGACCAAGTGACCATTCCTGGTACATATCTATAGCCGCTTTCACACCAAGTACTTTGCCGTACTTAGTTCCCAGTACTTAGTCCCGCCGAACTCTTTAGTCCCGTAACTGTCCTAGTAAATCGCTCTCACACCGGAATAAGTCCCTGAGGGAGGATTAGGCAAATGAAGCTGCTGATGTCACTTCTTCTGCTTTAGGTTTACTGGCAGGCCGCAAACAACTTCACGGCGTATACTGCCACCCGAAGTCCCGGAGTCCCTCGGAGTCCGGGACTTTGGGTGGCAGTAAATCGCCACCCGAAGCCCCGTTTAAATCGCCGGAAGCGCCGACACCTCCTCATCACTCCACCGATCCCACTTTTTATTTTGTGTTGCCATAAGTTAGTCTCTCTCCGTTGGTTCACTGGGCTAATGCTAATGCTAATAAAGCAAATAAAATGGCGGCTTCACAAAACCTTTTCAGAGTTTTACGGGGCTTGGTTTGTTATTCGCCCAGCCAATCAGAAATTGGAACCTTTTTCTCCCCAGGAAAGTCCCTGCTCTCTAGCAGGGACTAAAAAGGGGTGAAAAGGTTCGCAAAAAAAAGTTCTAGTTCCAGATCTTTTTGGTGTGAACGCAAAATCCCAGGAACTATCGGAACTATTCCTGGGAAAAGTACTAATAATGTTAATACTGTATTATAAAGCTGTGATTTAGAGCAGAGCATCTCTTGGACTATCACTGATGGAGAGGAAGTACAAGCACCCAAGCTGCTGTGCTTCAGAAGAGCATTTTAGGTGTAATTGACAGTGATCCTGCAGTGGGTTTCACCCTGCAGCTATGGGGATGCTGATAGGGGGAGATGCATTGAATTTCAAACAGACCTCGGAGCCTACTCATAGTTTTTTTTTTTAATTTGTTGATATTATTAAAGTATTGCTGACAATGCGCAAATGTTATCCTAATGCTCACTTTAACGTCAGAGCTGCTTTGATTGGCAGGCAGGAAGTGTCAGTTGACAGGATGGGGATGGGGCATTGTAGCAACACATATTCAACTGCCTGCGTCATCAATCTGTTCCCTTTGCCAAGGACAAGCAACAAGAGGATTCAAAACACAAAGAAAGACACAACACATCGCTCAGAAAACCTTGAAGATGTATCACTGCACCCGCCTGAGGAATGTCTTGATTATGGGAAACCTGATACAAATGGAGGAGTCTCCACTGCCCTTCACCCCCCCCCTTATCACCTTTTAGGATACTCTTCCTTCACCCCACAGCTCTCTCTACTCACCCTCGCCCACCCTCCTGGAGATCGCTGAACACATGAAGGAGATACAGGATGGCACCAATTCCTTCCTGGAGTTCAATGACCGCATTAAGGCGATACGCAGGGTTGGCAGCATGTCCTTTATCCCCGCCCCTCAACGACGCCCACAGAGACGCGCACCATCACCGTGCCTATGTCAAACACCTCCCCCCCTTCAAGACACCATCTGCGGTCACCGAAGCCTGATAAGAATGTGTGTACAAAACGCAGCAAACTCTTACTGATATGTGCTGGGTCCAGGCTCAAGGGGCATATGGCACTCTCAACTCTTTCCAGGACAAGCCGGGGCCCTGCCTGCCAGTAGCTTTGCCGATATCTGTGTTGATAGGTAATAGATTGAGATCGTTGAATCGGCTTAGAAACAGGAAGTGCTCAAACGTTTGTGTGAGTTTATCAAATCTAGCAGTGACTCCATGTCAGCCACAGCTTGTCACAAAAAGTCTGTATTTAACAAACTTAAACTAGCTTTATTAAATGTCAGGTCATTGGCAGGAAAAACGTTTTTAATCAATGATTTTATCACTGAGCACAATCTCGATTTGATGTTTTTAACGGAAACTTGGATTGAACAAAATAACAGTGCAGCTGTTCTTATCAAATCAACACCTCCCAACTTCAGTTTTATGAGCCAGGAAAGAATGCATAAGAAAGGGGGTGCAGTTGCTATTTTGTTCAATGATTCCCTTCAATGCAGGAAGACATCTTATGGGGACTTTGCTTCTTTTGAATATGTGGCCCTTCAGCTGAAATGCTCCTCTCGAGCTCTGAACAAAATGAACATATTTTACCGTGATTTAATTGTTATACACGTTTCAAAATGATGCCTAAGTAACAACATACTGATACCGGTTAGTAAAAACCATGAATTAATGCTTTTACAAGTCGGCAGGCGAAAAACCTTTTAAAATGCGTGTTTTCTGAATGGAGATCGGATCGATCAGGCTAAGCTAACTTTGTATATGCTCCGACCGCCCACACTCACAACGGCCTACAGACATAAATAAACCAGCGACTGTACTCGCCATGACACAGGCAGTCTGTGGTTTGTACTTGTTTCACTTGTGTCTAGTTTCTGAACAGATATGAGGAGCTGTGTGTTTGAGTGCTAACAGCTAACGGCTGATGTTGGTTTTGTGGTTCGCATTGAAAATGACGTCACAGCAGTTTTACGCAGCGTCGCTCCGCCTACACTGCGTTACTATAGTTACTGCCCCAGCTACTAAACTGTAATGGAAACGCAGCATAAAGTGAGCCTGGCCTACCAAGGCCTAACCATACCGTACTAAGCCGTGCTAGGTCCTGCAGTGGAAAAGCGCCATAATAGCCAGCTTTTTTTGTCTCTTCTGTCATGGAGAAAGATTGAATAAAGCTAATGTGTCCCGAAACAATTTGTCAATAGCCTGAAAATGAATCCCCAACCAATTTTGTAGTTGATTACGTATGTGACTAATTTAGGAAACTAAAATGTATTCTAGCTTTTTAAATGTTTGATCTTCTTTTTAGACTTGTGCATCAGACAACAACAATAATGTGGAGGCCTCACAAAGCCCTGGGACATTTTGATGGGTAGTATTCGCCATCTTAACAAGGTCTGCATGTTCTTCAGGCTCCTCTGTCAGTGTGAGCTTCGGTCTGCAGGAATGTCACTGGATGATGGATTACTGCTCGTCTGTGACCCTTATAGTGTGCCCCCCCCCCCCCCCCCCCCCCTTTTAGAGCCCTGGCCTCCCATTCAACCAATCACGCACATGCATACAAACTCGCACACACAACTACTTCTCTATGGTGAATCAATAGTGACATGGAAGGAGACCAGCAATGCGCAAAGAACCATGTTTTCGGAGGATAATTCTATTAACATGGAAAAAAGCTCAACGTTTCTTAATGGAGCTTCTTTATTTTCCCCTCACACAACTTTTTTTCTTAATCAAAATGTTCTGCTGAGACTGTCCATGACGGTATTTAACACATTCTTACTTGTAGTGCCTGTCTGGAAGTCTAAATGAGTGTTGTTGAGCAGTCTTAAGAAATCATTAACATTCATGGGGTTAGGCCTTTGAATAGAGTGGAGCAGTGATGACGTATTTCTGTAAGCCGACCCAAAAGATAGCATCACTCGGGGCTCTCTTGGCAGAAAGCAATGGGTTTTTTTCATAGGGTTTGGGAATATCGCTGAAAATAAGATCGGTGGCCAACACATGTTTATGATGCCTACCTACATGTTTTGTTCAACTGGAAAATCTCGACATTTCATCAAAACACTACAACAGTTGAATTGCAAATGCAATCGCCAGATTAAATTGCTCACGTTTGAGCTAAGGTTTTAAACAGTAGCTCAGTCTGTCTCAGTCCCAATCATACCAAATAAATAGGGAGTGTGGACTGGTAGCTGGAGAGACTAATTAGAGACTAATAAACAAACTACTTTACACTCACATGACTTCACGTCAATATGCTAAGCTAAAGGCGGCTAATGCTAGGCAAGTTGATGTTTCGTAATCTATTTGAGTCACTTGTTAGCAACCGACACTTGTAGGCCACATAAAAGCTTCAGACGTTCTCCAGTGGGGTATTTACTGACATTTTTGTCGTGGAACAAAATGTGAAAATCTATTAAGCTTGTGTCAACCATAGACCATATTTCTGGAATTTAACTGAAAACCATTTCTTTGTGTCGAAGAAGTAAAGAAGCAGTAATATGCTAACTAATTTCCTGGTTTAGGACTGATTCCTAGACCACTCTATTTCTGTGCAGAGCAACACAAATGAACATTTACTTGGTTTGAGGCAAGGTATATTTAATAATGTGACCCTATGGTGTTGTTGTGTTTTGCAGGAAGGAGCATCTGCCCGGAAGGCCCAGACTCCAGCGCTTCAGCCGGTCCCGCGTCCAGGTCGGTGTTTCTCTCTGAATTACTGCAGAAATACTTAAACATTAATGGAACATCCAATATTTTAAGACTTGATGTCCATGACACATACTAGATTTGGACCAGAAATCTGTCTTTGTTAAATGCATACTTTTTATATTCAGAATAATATATATTTTTTTATCCTTGGGGTTAGTAATAGTTGCTAAATTAATAAATAAAGAAAAGAAATCTATAAAATATGTTTTAAGTTGAAATAAAATAAACTGTAACAAATCAAATCTACATATATTTAGATAGATAATAATAAGTAAAATTGAATAAAATGTCCACTTCCAGCATCTTATCTATTCTTGCTGTCATTCTCGATCCGGAGGAGCAGGAAAAAAACTCTACTAGATTAAGAAAAGACTCGGTAAAAAATAAAACCGCTTTCCTTCCATTATGCAGTAAGTTCCTTTTTTTCTAAAAGGTCAAATATCCAGCTGTTTAGTCTCCCTTTCTGTCCTTATCCTCTGTAGCCTTGACCTGAATGACATGTGGCTGATTGTGATTTCCAACATTTCCTGTCTGTCTTGCCTGTCAGTAAATGTCAGGAAGCTGTCCTCATGTGTCAGTCAGTTTAAACCAAAGTTTCCTCAGGGACACTGCGAGGCGAATACACCATATTATCCGACCAACCAATCAATCACACTCAACACTAGCAGCTGCTGCGTTTGAGTTGTTGTAGCTCCAGAGATTTTCTTTCATGAGCATATATGGTACCTGAAATTGTAAAAAATATTTTTTTTTTTGTCTGTGACCAGGTTTCATTTTAAGGTCACACTATCAGAAATAAATTATTCAATACCAGTGAAATTCTAGGATTGTCATTAACCAATTTGATGCATCGGTAAAAATAAATGTCTGTGAATACATTCCCTTTTTAACAAAATATTCAACACATCATCATAACTTTATAATTTACCTTTGCCCAATAACATTATTATTTCTGAATGTATGCTGTAGGCTGCTAACAGCTAACATAACTAGCTATCCTCTTGTCAATTTCAAAACGAATCGTTATTCACTACGTACCATACAAAGGGCAAAAGAATATGCCTCATTCTCTAGAGGCCTGGAGAAGATCTATGTTTGTCCGAAACACATATTTCTGTTGTCCCTGGGACGACAGGGTCCCATCATTCTTGAGCCTCCTGGTACATGCTGTACTGTTCCATCACAATTTCGAAATGTTGGCATCAAAATGAACATCCCTACTCTTTGATATTTTAGCATTTGACCTTCCCCTGCTTACCACATAAAATAAAATGATACGGAACTTCTCTCGGCCTTGAGCATAAAAACTGCTTGGTCCAAATTTCTGTGATATCTACTTCTGCTCGACATAACCATACCGTGGAAAAAAAATTCTGGGTGAAACTGCCTCCATGAAAGGGACCTTTGTTTGAGGAGAAGAATCAAATGTGTGTTTGACTCCTCAGCAAATATGTGCCCAAAGATTGGAGGTGAAGATATGTGAGAACACAACAAAGCAACATCAGTCTGCATCTTGTTGTATGATGACTGGACTGAAGTGACACATTTGCAAAATGTTTAATTGAACTTCATGCATGCAGGGTTAAAGGAAGGAATGCAGGAGTCACCTCTTGCAGATTTAATAGTGTATTTGCTGACACAGGATCTTTTATTTATTTTAGTTTTTTATGTGAGCTATTGCCAGTCAATTATTTCACAGAATCATTTAGTTATATTTCTAAAAAATGAATATTCTTAGTGGAATTGTTGTACTTGTTATTTTAGTTTGTTGAAAAAAAGTTGTTTATCTAAAATTGTTTTTTTTTCCTTCTAGTTTCACAAGCCAGACCTCCACCGAATCAAAAGAAAGGTACGCATTTCACTTAATTGGACTATGTTTTTGGTATTCATATAAAAAGCAATATACTGAATATGAGGTAACATAACAGCCATTTTTTTCTTTATTTGCATAAAACTGCATTTTATTTGACTGTATATTTGACACTACCAATATTTTTAAAGACCTTTTTATCATCATTTTCTCAACAGGGTCCCGGACCCCCATTGTCATCATCCCTGCCGCCACCACCTCACTCATCACAATGCTCAATGCTAAGGAGCTCCTGCAGGATCTGAAGTAAGTGTATTTACCTGTTGACCTTTTTTGCTGCCCCCAATCAGTCAACTAAACATTAGTCGGCTAAAAAAGTATATTTTATATGAAGCACAACGTGCCATGCTGTTATAACGTTCTTCATGAGCCTTTGGAACGGAAAATAATTTGGGGAAATAAATACATAAATAATATTAATAGGGATGGGTATCGTTAGGATTTTATCGATACCGATACCGGTACTGATTATCGGTATCGGTATTTTTCGATACTCTTATCGATACTTTTCAATAATTTGGTGCTCAAAATGATAGACATGAATACAAGATGTGAAGATTAAACAGTCATTTTATTGTAAATTTCTTGCAGAAATAACTGTATAACTTATACATTAGCTTCTCAGAAGCAGACAAAAATAAATAAAATAACTTAAAGGGGCCTGGCTCGCCCTCCCTATCATGCTTTTTGGGGTTTTCCCTCAGACAGAGGATGAAAAGAGGCATTTTTTAAAATATTTTTTAACATTGTAAATCAGTTATATCTTCATCCAGACATTTCAAACTGACAACCTAGCTCGACAAGAGATCCTTAAAACATTGTCCTACAGTGACATCATGCAAAACTGTCATATGAAGAAATTGGTAAAAAGGCTAAGATGGCAAAAAGATAAAGGCGAGTACGTATATTATTCTGGATTGTACTTTTAAATCATCACAAAATAAATGATGTGCTGAACTGAAACACGTCAAAATGTGTCTGAAGGTTTAAACATAGAACAAAGTATTTGAGCTTAAAATATGTCAATTCCTAGTAAACGACCAACAATTGCTGAACCATACATTGAAACATTGACCTTTAACAACATTTAAATGCAGTTTTCCACAATGACATCTGTAAGTTTAACTGGTTTATAAAGCATTCAATGAAAGGCCAAATTATTATAGGGGTAGGAGCTCACATTAATACACTGTCAGTGTTAATAAACTAAAAAAAGACAAGGCGATGTGCCTGCAAGACTTCACTCAGGTAAACAAAACATATTACCCGTGCGCAGCAGCTAACCTGCCTGCGAGCCTTCGCTCAGGTCACATTTACACACGGCGCGGCTGAAGCCCGCGAAAACAGCATCTATAGTTGCCGACAGTTTAGTATTTTTAAAATACAGTTACATTTGTCCCGCAAATCGTATCAGGTTGCACTGAGGAGGACGTTGTTAGCGTGCTACTGCTAGCACTATTAGCACTAGCAGTATCGCTAGCAGCCACATTGTTTAGGCTGTCAAATACGCTGCGCCGTTTTAGATTCAATGAGTGTCTCGTTTGCAAATGCTTCATTAAGTTGCTTGTGTTACCCCCTTTACAAGCAACTCATTGAGTACATAGATTGCACCTTGCACTATCGCCACTACATTTTTTAAAGTGCACCCAGACCTTCGATCGCTTCGCTCTGTCCGCCATGCCTGCGGGAGTCTCACAACAATAATAAGAGCGCTGTTGAGAGAGATGACGAGTGGCATTTACAGTGGCCAATCAGAGGGGTCTCAAACCGAATACATCACACGGGATGAGGGTTCCCAACCAACCAGAATGGTTTAAAGTTAAACTAAGGAAGTAGATGTAACGCATATACCGATAGCAGCACCGTTTGTCCAGCGGCTTAACGGTATACCGATACCGTCCAATCAGGTACCGGTATTGACTTAGTACCGGTTCTCGATACCCATCCTTAAATATTAATAATCATAATTTATCATAAACATCCAACGATTAGTGGACTAATCGCCTGAATTGACGACTATTGTTAGACTAGAAAAATCTTTAGTCAAAGGCAGCCCTAGATGTTTTTTTTACGAAAATGGGTACCAAAAGCTGTTTTTATAAGTTATGAGGTTGCTGCACTGAAGAGTAAAATGCACATTTAAAAAAATAAAAATAAAATGGTGAACATATTTGGGCCCAGAATTTATCCGCCCATCCTATTTTTTTATGGCTCCGTGCCGTCAATGGCCTCGACTGGATTAATATGTTTAAGGGATTTTTGGTCAATCCCATTTTATCAGAAACACCTGGAGGAAATGTCTTCTAATTGGGCACAGACATCCCCTATATTTTCATGGACAAAGGTTTCTTCAACCTTAAACATTTTTTTGCCCATAAGTCATACGTTAGTCATGACAATCTCTCGTGAATGACTAATGGGATAACATGTGGATAATAGTGATAACTTGTTTCTAACCACTTAATATCTATTAGTCATTTTAACAGAGTACTTCCTGATTTTCTACCTGATCTTTATTTACAACTTCCTTCTCCTCCAGTCTGCCAAAATCACTTTACCTTGCTGAGGACCACAAGATCAGGCCCGGGGAAATGTTACTTGGCAGAACTTGGCCTTTGGGCACATTTTTACCACAGCACTGAACATAGCGTCATAAAACCAAACAGGAAACTGTCAATTTCCACAGTGCAACTACATGTCCGTTTTATCTAACTTGCTAATGCAGTATCCCAATCCCATCCATTATTCTCATTCAATCAGAAAAGAGGAAGACTAGAGCATTATATTACACAAACAAAGCGGATAAAAGCTCCTGAACATTTGGTTTCATATCTTTGTTTGTTTTTATTTAGCATTAATTATATATTACTTAATAACCAACAGTCACATCTCAAGTTGTGGGAAAAGAAAGCCTACGTTGATGCCAAAGCATTTTTAGGAATATAGTATTTGAGAGCCTTGTAAGCAAGTGTGTTTAGCGTCTATAAAGTATTATAAATGAGATAAAGTAACACTATTCATTTTGTTTGTGCCAATTCAGGTTTGTCACGCCGGAAGAGAAGAAGAAGCAGGGCATCCAGCGTGATAATGAGGTTCTCCTGCAGAGACGCAAAGACCAGATCCAGCCGGGGGGGGGCGACTGTGAGCGTCACCGTGCCGTACCGAATCATCGACCAGCCGCTCAAATTGGCTCCACAGGACTGGTAAGGATTATAATTAATAGTGATGTCAAATGTTTTTCTATATTTGTAATATGAATGGCAGGTTAAAGTTGGAACAGCATGTTATTTATATTTATATCTAAAATAGTTATATAATCATCAAGTTCATTGTAAAATTGTGCAACAAAAAGCTAAAATATTTATAAAAATGAACACCCAGCTTTAGTCTACGCATGAAACAGCCACCTGTCATTTATCAGGGTGAGATTGAGTCTCTCAAATCATTTCAGAATTTGTATCATCTATCTGGTACAAAATGCTCACTTCTTTTTATTCTCATGTTTTACCTTTTAGAGAGCACAGGGTCCTGGGTTTTTATTTGGTTCTCATTTAATTTTTGTATTTGGTTCACAAGTTCTTTATAAGAAAGGAACGCCTCACATCCTGTCATCATGGAGGCAGTTGGTGTGGGGGGTTCACTGGGCGGTTTCACACCGGTTTCTGGTACACAAACCAAACCGCAAAACATTCATTAAATCTAACAGCATTGTTCAAGTAAGAGGTATTATGCAGTGTACCATCTTGCTTATTACACGGAAACTAAATAAATCAACAATTGGACACAACAAACTGATTTTAACATTATTTTATTGACTGAAAATAGTCGCCCTTCTGCGAGGCAATTGCTGAACTGCAGTTACAGCAAAGTCACTTTAAATGGCGGCAACACTGTTTTAGGTTTTCTGCCACTGTACTGTTTAAGTCCTGTTAGTGATAACTTCCTGTCCCTGTAGCTTTCGCTGATTCATGTCATCTCTCTTTTCATCGGTTTCCTTCCCTTGTACTTTTTTAATTATTATTCTTCTCTTTTTTTCATTTACTGGGGACAGTTGAGCCACCATGAATCAAGTGTCATGCTCTCAACAAATATATATATATATATATAAACATTCAAGAAATATTCCATGGTGTTTTTCTGATGAGGGAAAACAAATGTGTGTTTTTTTTATCCATCTCTGACGTTAAATTCACCAAACCTCTCTCTACGGATTGATAGTCCCTGGATCAGAGTGTCCTAAGCAACGGACTGCTATCAAGAAAGAGCAGACCGCTGAATGTCCAAATTGACCAATCAGAATCGAGTATTCATCTACGCTGTGTAATACAAATGAATACATTATGTCCCATTGATGATGATAAAGTGGTATAATATTAAGCAGTATTACAGCACCATTAAGATCGGCTTCTGTATATTTTGGCAAACTTTAACACGTTATGTCTCTACAACATTAACGTGCGTGTGTGTGTTTGTGTGGCAGGGATCGAGTGGTGGCCGTGTTTGTGCAGGGTCCTGCCTGGCAGTTCAAAGGCTGGCCGTGGCTGCTGCCTGATGGATCTCCTGTTGACATTTTTGCCAAAAGTGAGTAAGGTCCTTGAGACATTGTTGCCACACTTTACTGGCGGTAGGCTTGAGCAGTATGATGATTTTACGAAGCACCAGTACATAAAAAAAATCTAGACAGTGTGATGTTCATTACCTTCATTATTACAGATGAGCGGCTTTCTATGATGCATGTATTGTGGTGCACATTGTAGTTAGGAAACCAGTTTCTAAACTGTAGGCTATATTTATTATCAATATAAGTATGATTTATTTTTCATCAGCCAGCGCATTTCTGTAAAGCATATATTTCTCTATTTATAATAATATTTTGTGACTATCTAATTATTGATTAATGTTCTGTTGTTGCTCTTCTGGTGAGCAATGGTCCAAATGTTCAGGCAAAAGGCTGTGATATGTGAACATTTTAAAATAAGTAACATTAGTAAGTTCAGTCTGTAAGCTTTTTTGGTTATCAGAAGTAATATCAACGGTCCAAAATTATGTAAAAGTTGCAACGTTTTCTCAAATCTTCTTGGAGCATGATGAGCAAACCTGTACCGCAAAAGAACGGTGAAATGTTTGTAGATCAAACAACTCTTATATTAATTAGGAGAAATTGTTCTAAAGTTGGGTATTGGTGGAAACAGTGGCCTTCAGCTAACATAAAGACACGGCCCTCTAGGTGAGCGTTTTGTTTGTCCACTCTGGGTTACTGTGGCTGCTATAAAAGGGCCAGTTTGAAGCTATCGAGAATGCAACGATTCATACGGTCATGTGATAACACAATAAAATATTCAATTTCTGCTAATAGTTCCCTCTTTATACTACACACTGGTCCTTTCTCTAAACAAATCTTCAATGCATAAAACAGGAAATATATGCAGTGTGTGTCCACCCAAGCTAGCAGGATATTAGCGGCCGCCTGCAGCAGACACAGATCTTTAGAGCTTAAGTCACTCTGGTTCTCAATTTCTGAGAAACAAGGTTACACTAGTAACCTAAAGTATTTGGCACACCATACAAAATGCAAATATTAAGGTGAAGGTTATATAGTTTATATACTGAGGGTGGCTCGTTTTATCCTGCCCTTGACCCGGAATCCTCTATATAAACGAATGCTTTACGTTTCCCCTCCAGTTCGAGCCTTTCATCTGAAGTACGACGAGGCGAAGATCGACCCCAACGTGCAGAAGTGGGATGTGTCCGTCCTGGAGCTGAGCCGCCACCGGCGCCATCTGGACCGACCCGTGTTCCTGCACTTCTGGGAAACCGTCGACAGGTGTGCAATGCTATAATGATTTGGGCCTCATCGTGATGTATTTAAAGTCATGAAAACAATGACATTGCACAAACTGACCTTTTTTATTTTCTACTTTTTCCCCAGATACCTGGTCAAACACAAAGCTCACCTCCGGTTCTGAGCCCAGATCACTGCGTCCATCCCCGGAAAAAATACTATGACCTCCTCCAACCCTCCTCGGTCCAACTTTGCCATCCCATTATCCATTTTGATTCTCATCTCGTGGACTTCCTCCTTTACTTCCTCGAGGACTACTTTTCTCTGGACACCTGCGGGGAGATTTAGGGAATTTTCTGTTTTTGGTTGTAATTATTTCCTAATGCTTTCATGTAGAGAAATACCAAAATATGTTTTATATGAAAAAAATACTGTGGAAATGATTAAGATGCGATACCTAGCAACATAATGGGGTCGGAGGGAGAGGAGGTTTCATTTTGTCAACAGTAAAGAGGACTGTTAAGGTCAAAATGACTCTTGGTACAAACAAAGCAGCCACTGAGTTTGAGGAAAGTGACTTCCTTTACACTTTTTTCTTTTGGGTTTCTTTGGTCTGAATGTACATATATGATATGATATGATGATAGCTGTCAGATCACAGCTCTGAGCGGAGAGAAGGATGCCAGTGATTTGTTAATACGACTATTATCACGTCAGTCTGTTCCTAGCTCAGTTTTTGACTGATCAGCATTTCTCTGGGTCATGTAATGGCCTTGTTAAAGTCTTCTTTTTCTTCTTTGTTGGTGTTGTGCTAGAAGAGAAATATGATGGAAAGTATTGCTTTAAGTCGTCACATGAAAATAGACAATAAAGCCTCAGAAAAACTAAGTCTGCGTGCTGCTTTTTGTAGACGATTTGTGTTTGTTAAAGGTCCCATGTTTTGGCCATTTCTACTGATCATAATTCCATTGTTGAAGTCTACTAGAATAGATTTACATTGTTCAATTTTCCAAAATCACATAGGTTTCTCATACAGCATCTCTGTATAGCATGTGTATTCACTCTGTCCTTAACGGCTTGTTGGAGCTCCTATCACTCATTTAGAAACATCCCCATCCTTTTGATTAAGTCATAAAATGAGACATAAAATAGGACCAATTTAGTCTTTTTAGAAGTACAGTTACCCCATATGTATCTCTGATTAATACGCAATATGATTTTGTGATATTTGCTGCAGTTCACATCGGTGTGTTGGCCTCAGAGTCAAAGACACACATTGCCTAACTTTTTGGGGTTGACCCCGACAATAATTAACCTGATCTGATGTGGAGTGTACTTCGCTCTGCTTTGTCCTGCAGTATTTTAATTCCTGAAAAAATGTCTGTGGGATATCTAGGATTTGTTCTTCTGCTTTGGTTCCCAGGAGTGCTGCATGGTAAGAACATTACATTCTGTCACCTATCATTTTTAGTTCAAGTGTTTTATTATAGTGCTCTCTTACTTGTTTCAGCACACAATGAAACCCAGAACTGTACTGCTTCCAGTCCGAGTGGAGGTTATGTTGTCCCTGAACAAGAAACGTACCTTCATGAAACAACGCTCACTTACGCCTGTGATAACGGATTTAAACCAGCAGTGGAGGGCTGGAGTGCCACAAGCATATGTCAAAATGGCAAATGGTCTCCTGAACCCCAATGTATAGGTACGTTTTTAATAATTTTTCTGGTGGTTTGTTTAAATAAGCCACTCTACGTTGTGTTTTTCAGGGTAAATGTGTAATACTTTGCTTTATAGTTTTATTTTCATTTAATTTCTGATTTTGATTGAAAGGATAATGTCCTGCTTGAATATGACACTAGAGATTTTTTTTATTATTATTACATGTTTTGTAACCAGCTTTTTAATACATTTTTCCATCCATCTTCACCAATGTCACCAACAAACAGATATGAATTCTACAAACACCAACACAACCCGGCGGCACACACATAGTTTAGCATAACATTTCAAGAGTAGGCAAAGATTCCTTTTTGTTACATTTCTGAATGATGCTATAGTTGATTTTGGCCTAACTTACTTGAGGAATGAGGAATCTACTTCTCTTTTTCTGAGAGAAATTGACCACATAATGTTCCATGAATTACGTTGGTGAAGAATACACTTTAACTAGAAAATGCATTTCCTGCAGAAAATGCGTGTGAATGTTGTAAACTGTGAACATTTGTGGCTGAATTTAGCGGAAAATGCAGAAAAAGCTGAATATGTTATTAGCTGAATGGTAGCTGCTTTTAGCTACAAAAATGCAGAAAAAGCTTAATATTTAAAAGAAAAGGTTTAAAAAAAGGTATAAACAACACGTATAGCCTTAATGTCCTGAAATAGCTGAATAATGTAATAGTTGAATGGTTTCTGCAGCTGAAAGTAGGCTGAAGGAGTTAAATATCAGATGTAAGTAGTAGTGAATGAATGTGTATTAAGAAGAGAAAATAAAGTAAAAAGGCTTGGGAAAGCAGCAGAATATTTTGACTGCAAACCTTTCGACTAAAACCATATGTCACCAATAATGTATAAAATATGTGGAACCTGTTGAAGTCAGTAGAAAGTCTCCATCAGACAGAAAATAATAGGCTGAGACAGTCTGTTAAAGTCCAGTGTGTTTGTCAGTGTTTGTTTCTGTGCTGAGCACCTAATCATAACAAATAATCATAACACCTGTGTGAGCCCAGAGATCAAAGGTTTCAATCTGCCCAGCAACACCATGGTTACCAGCTGCAGCACTGAGTGCCATTAAGAATGCATTGAGGATCATATCTGACAATTTTGCCACCTGTTCAAAAACTATGGCTCCTATCAAAAAATGTACAGACCGTGAGCATCAAGGAACCCCAATGAACTGATATGTTTTTTTGGGGGGTTTTGTGTGGTAAATGTGAAGATGAGAGCAGTTTGTCTAAAGTGTACTTCTCTCTGTTCTGAAGAAAGATCCAGATTTTTTTTACATAGGAGTCTAATGGGAGTTAGCTGGACTTTTTGTCACTTCATGCCCTCAAGAGGCATTTTGTTTAATATTTGTTCTTAATTATTATTTTTTCAACCTAGGAGAGGTTTTCCTACGTTTTTCACGAAAAATGATGTCTGAGGAGTGTAGGGTTTGGGAATTATGGCAGGTTTAAAAAAAATTTTCGGGAGAATTTCAAGCACTCCTCCACTCTGTTTTGAGATCAAAGCAGTCTAGACTAAGGCCCCGCTCACACGGGAACGTTTGCGTTTATGCACAGTATGCGTATTCAAAAAAGTCTTCCGTTCACATGCATTCGTTTCATTTAACGTGTCTGTTCAAACGAGACCGCTGGAAACGCTGTAGTACATATGCCGGGACTGTAAGTGGCGCTGTAACTTCCGCCACAAAATACACCAAAAGCAGTGAAGAAGACTCCGCAGCAGCCCCGCAGCAATGTTGCCATGGCTACCCTTCTGTTTACGCCCCGCCGTGGATTTAGCAACATGTAGTTCATGTAATTCTCCATGTCCACTTGTTGCTGATGGTTGTGGTAGAGGAGCTGTATATTTTTGCACTAATATCTGTAGCATGGTCAGTAGCAGTAGCAGTAGCAGTAGCTACTGACAGGAGGAGGAGCATGTCTCCGTGGAGAGGACTCGCTCAGAGAGATATTCTCTACAAACACCGGGTGAGATCCTCCTTTGTCAATATAATGGATCAATGCATGAAATCTGACTCTGTTTATTTTGTTTAAGGAGTATATTGGGCGTTAACAATTCTGGTTTGCCTTTTATAATATTATTTCATTCAAGAACCCTTTGTGCGTTTAATTAACACAGCCATGCCACAGCAGTGAGCAGGAGAGGTGGGGAAAGGTGGGGCTATCGTTATTTTTTCAGGAAATATTCGTATAGAGGTGATTACACGGACTCGGTTGACCCCCCAGAGCGTTTCGTTTGCAAATCTATCCATCTTGGGACCCGTTATCGTTTGTGGGGTCAGTTTCTATCGGCCTCGTGTAAATAATAGGGCTATACGCACGCGAAACTATGCAGATACAAGCAGTTTTCTCCTCGTGTAAACGGCGCCTTAACGAGCAATACACACTAATGTTAAAATCTGAAAAAGGCCTCTCTACCAAGCTCCAAACTAAGTTAAATATCTCAAAAGGTGTAGAAGATATCAAAGATCTGAATAAGAATTGAATAGCTGAAGGTCTTGTGATCATTTTAAAGTTGGAATGAAGTGTCTAGCTGAAAGTATGTGGAAGGAGAAGCATTTGGCGTCCCATTGACTTCCATGTTAAAAAAAAGAGTTTAAAAAGCTGAATATTTCAAAAAGTATAAAATATTTTTAAAAAGTTGAAGGTTTCCCATCGATTCCTGAAAAGGCTGAATAGTTTAATATTTGAATGGTTTCTGTAGCTGAAAGTAGGCTGAAGTTATGGAGAGCCAAAGTATTGGCTGAAATAATATGGGGAAGAATAAAGATTTGAAGAACTATAGTGGAATGCTGTAAACAGCATTCGCACTAATGATAAGTATGTGTAGTGTCCATTCAACTGAAGTTATTTACCTTTGATCAGAAATACAGTCCCCAAAAATCAGTGGAAAACCTTTTTACTACTACCATTGGATGAACAGATTATGGGGCAAAGTTCATTTCCCCAACAAGTTCTACAAACAGGGAGACATCTTAACAAATATAAAAAAAAATAAACAACTAAAAGATAAAGCTCTGTGTGTATTTAAAACTGCTTAAAAGGACTTGGTTCTCTCGTCCTTTAAATTGAATAATTTGTGCTGCAGAGGTGGGATCAGGTGGAGGACACACTACTTCTGCTGGCAGGGGGCGACAACCTGCAGGTGGAGGTAGTTTACTGATTCATAATCAATACAACTATGAAATATGAGTTAATCCAATTATCTAACCACTCCATATATATAGGCCTTGAAATGTATTTGATATGTCCACTCAGACAGAAGACCTGATACTGGACATGGTGGATCCACAGTGGGAGGAACAGGTGGAGGACACACTACTTCTGCTGGCAGTGGGATACAACCTGCAGGTGGAGGTAGTTTATTTACCTTTATAAAGTATGAATGATTAAAATCCTTTGTTCAAATCTCTCCATAGATACATTTGTAGGATTATATTTAATGTTTTGTCTTATTCCCACCCAGGCAGCAGTACTGGACATGGTGGAGCCACAGGGGGAGGAACAGGTGGAGGACACATTACATCTATTGGCAGTAGTTTATTGATCAGTATTAAATATGAGTGGGTAAATGCATTGATCTGATCTCTCCATAAACTTATCTGAAGGCCGATTTCTTACATCAGACGGCAGTGGGATGACTTCAGGTAGAAGAAGGTAGCTTAAAAAAACAGGTAGCTCAAATTAAGCATTCTGATTTTGCCACAGTCTCTCATGACACTCAAAAGCGGTGAGTCAGTTAACTCCAATTGGAAAAGTGAATGTGAGCAAACAACAGCTAATTAAGAGAAACAATTACACTCTACTAGATCTGACTACAGAGAGTGTTAACAACATTACACTGTATGGCTGACGTTAGTTTTTACATTTCAAGCTAACATCAACTTGCGTTCACAAACATCATTGTTAACAAATGTTCCTGTTGCTAAATATATTTGTTGTTTATATCTGATGTTATCTAAAATAAATCTAAATAGGGCATTAGACAGCACCCACTACATAGATGAAAATCATTAATCATGATTAATCACAAGTTTAAAATACTATTATTAACCTTGCTTAGTGTATTTTTGGGAGATTAAAGAAGTACACATGCTATGTTGTAATAAAGAAATGCATGACAAACTGTTAAGACAAATCATAGGTTTGTTATTTTATTGTTAAACATCTCAGCTCAGTTTTGATGATTTCAAAATTATTGGCATGAAGTCCGTCAACTTTCCGACACTTAGCTAAAGCATCAAAAGACGCTGTCAAGCCTTTGTGATCACGCTCTGTATAATGTGCCCTACACAGATGCTCCTGTTTTCTGCCGCTATCATAATGCAAGCAGTAACTATTTCTACAGTAAAAACCTCGTCTTCCACTCCTGAGAAACTTCAAGAAACGGGCTCCTACATTACAAAGCAAAATGCCTTTCCTTCCTTCTTTTATTAAATGGTGCTGTTACTGCTTCCTGATGTCCAGTGGTCTCCAGTCAGGGAAATACATGCAGCTTGTGCCAGTTCCTCTGCTTTCTTTGCCTTTTTACTGCCATACAATTCATGGTAAACATATGAGCTGTAATTATAGGAGGAAGTTGTCAATTGGTATGTGAATAGTCTGCGTAGATATTTTGAAAACGTTTAGGTTTCCAGATAAATCTCAAGCGTTAACACGTTAACTTTGACCGGCCTGTTTTTAAAGTTAAATGGAAATATTAAATAGCCTCTTTTTGATTTTAGACGCCAACTGTGGAGACTACCCAAGTGTTCCAAACGGAGATGTTGTGCAAGTGAGCGGAACATCTTTGAAATACCAATGTAATGGCTTTTACACACTAGAGGGTCCAGACATTGTGACGTGTCAAAGCAATGGCAAGTGGACAGAACCACCATCCTGCAAAGGTATAAACGAGTCATAACGACTCTCTTCCTAAAAAGATATCACCCAAATATATTACCCGAGTAATTATACATAAGTTTTCCTTTCTGTGCAGCGGCTTTCTGTGTCATAGATCCTGCTCAAACGACTATGGCCGATGTTAAAATATCTGCAGTTGAATACGTAAAGGAAGGACAGGAGAAGTATATTCCGTGTACTTGGGATGATTGGAGCCGCCGTGTTCAATGCATTAATGGAAGAATTGCCTATACCTACTGTAAGTATATGGAGTCATTTTCACACAGAACAAGAATTCAAACTTAAGAATATGTATTGTAATGTCAATACTGTTACACTTCACTTATTTTGATATTTGTGTTAAATGAAATTCACCAGAAAGCAGGAAACAGAGTTGGTAAACAAATATTTTTAAATTATCTAAATTTTTTGAGTCTTAAAGTTGGCAAATAATGTGTATGTAGCTGTAGCTGTAGCCCGACCTTAATAACTAGTAAAAATACAGCTTTTACACATTTTCTTGGACTTTTTTAACACTAGGGTAGACATGCAAACTTTAGTGAATGAGAATTCAATTAGAGCAGTTTGTGTGAAAGAGATGACGTTCTGAAATATTCACTGCTGCTCTGTTGTTATTGGATTAATTCTAGGTTGTTCCAGAGATGATCTTTTTTATGTAAGTGCTATTCTCAGACGGCTCATTATTTTAACTACATTTGATCAGTTTTACATTATTGAATTAATACCTTTTGTCTGTGCTTTTCCAGCAAAGATGCCAAGTGGAGGTCTGGCCTGAAAACAGAAGCACAGTTGGAAGCATTTGAAATATCTCCACCAGAGAAGATAAACACCCAAAAAACCTTCATATTTGTAAATTATTTTCTTTTAAATCAGCTGTTTTTGTTCTTTCATTTTGATTGAACATATTTACACAATGTTGAAGCAAATTGTTCTTTAAGAGTCATTTTGTCTTTTTATGCTTGGAACTCTTGATGCACTAATGTCTATCAACACTTTGATTACAAATAAAAGGGAAATGGTCTACAGTAGACTGAATAAATGTTAATTGTTCTTAAACAATCGACTCGGATATTAGTTTTATATCTTCTACAAATTGCGTACAGTCTTTCCACTACAAATTGATTTCTATATTAGTAAGTATATACTTGTATTAACACACAGCTTAGTTGAATACTACATTGTCATTGGTCAACCAGAGGTTGTTAATGTTTTGCTAAGAGACCGCTGCTAATGAGAATAGACCGTAGCGATAAGAGGATCAGGGGACTATGTGCAGTCATATCAATCCACAGAAAGAAGTCCGGTCAATTTAACGCCAGATGTGCACAACAATCTTTTTTCTCCATCAGATACACCATGCATCATTTTTATATTTGTGTAAAGCACAAAACTTTGGATTCATGATGGCTGAACTGCCTCTAGTAAAGAAAATAAAAAGAGCGCATGAGAAGGAAAGATTTTAAAAGACATCAGAGAAATCAACAGAAGAAGATAGACAGGAAGTAAACACTAAAGAGAACAGATGAAGAAGACGGACAGGAAGTAAACACTAAAGGGAACAAGGGTTGCGGTCGAATAGTCCATTTTGCTTAGGAACCTTCCTAACGGAGTGAAATGACCCGGAAGTCCCTCAGTGGCAGCCACGATAAGTGCCGTTCGAATTCTCTAAATGAAAGGAAAGGCGGTTTCAAACTTCCTTTATAACCTCCTTTAGCTTAGGAACCACTGGACCTCCCTAACCTAAAGGAGAGGAGAAAATGCTGCCCCACAATGCCTTGCGGCCGCAGCATTTACCGTCACACAACAGTCGGCCGTTCACGGAAACAACCGATTATGAACGAGAAATGATATCATGAAAGTTACGGTGCTTATTAAGCTTTTTAAAACGGTAACTTGCCAAAGTGCTTTGTTTTGAACGTTCATCAGTATTATAATCAAAAAGAGAAATATGAACGTTAGTTTTTACTGAAATGATCAAATAAAGTCAACATTTCACAGTGTTTACTGAGCTGTGTGGGGTTTGTTCAACTTTTAAAAGATGTTTGAATGGTGATATACACAGTGATAGATGTTAAGGACTAACGTTTATAATAAATACATTTGTATTGATTTTAAGATCTTTTCATACAATCATATGTATTGGGATCATTTGTATTAATGTGGACCGGAGGTGAGGGTGACGAGCATAAGTTTCACTTTCCTTTTTTATTTCAATTCCAACTTTGGTCATGAAGAATATGTTTCTCTGTTGTCCACGTTCACAAAGCATAAAACAACAGCATCAGAGCACGGTGCAGAGTCTCTAGATGAGTTTACAGTAGTCCGTCGTTCTTATTAAACATCCATGTTGTAGTCCGCTGTATAGAAAACTGTAGTTTCCATAGTTTCCCCACAGCAGCAGACGCACATTTATGACCTCCGCTGGCGCATCATAAACACGTCAGATAGTGAAAGTGCAGTCGGATTCTCTAAAGTACCGCAGTCTCTTCTCCTAAGTCCTTTTGAATTCTCCTATCCACTATCCCTTAACCCCGTGACGTTTCACTCAGAGGTCAAGGAATAGTGGATAGGGTTAGAATTTAGGAGCTGATTTTTGGATTATTCGACCGCAACCATAGTATGGGCTCTAGCAGTGTTTTTTTTTATATGTTTTTTTTTTTTATTGAACATATTTTTAACATACAAAAGCTCGGTGAGGATATCATCATATCAAATCAAATCAAGTTTTATTTATATAGCACATTTTTAAACGATTTTTGGTCGAGCCAAAGTGCTGTACATACAATAAAAATACCCTACAGTAAAGACACTTTACAGCAAATACAACAGCACAGTTTGTGCAGAATATCAGTATGACAATACGACACCCTCTGTCCTTAGACCCTCACATCGTACAAGGAAAAACTTCCGGAGAAAAAACCCACAGTTTAAAGGGGAAAATGGGAAAACCTCAGGGAGAGCAACAGAGGAGGGATCCCTCTCCCAGGACAGACAGACGTGCAATAGATGCCGTGTGTAAATCGAAGAGATAATACATTTACAGCATAGGTAGACCAAATGTTTGGAGATGCATGTGTCTATAATAAGAAGATGAATCCACGAAGATGTCAACAACAATCCTGTGGGATTACTTTTCCCAGGAATAGTTCCCGTTTTTTTTAGTTCCGGAACTATCTAGTAAATCGCGTTCACACCGGACTAAGTCCCTGAGGGAGGATTACGCAAATGAAGCCGCTGACGTCACTTCTTCTTCTTCTGCTTTGGGTTTACTGGCAGGCCGCAAACAACTTCACGGCGTATACCGCCACCTGAAGTCCCCGGCCGGAAGTCCCCGGAGTCCCAGCAGCTTCTACTGAAGCCTTCCGAGTAAATCGCCAGAACGCCGACACCTCCTCATCACTCCACCGCTCCCATGTTTTTTTTTGTGTTGCCATAAGTTAGTCTCTCTCCGTCGGTGCGCGGGGCTAATGCTAATGCTAATAATGCTAATGCCAGCAAATACAATGGCAGCTTCACAACATTTGTCCAAGTTTTACGGGGCGTGGTTTGCAATTCGCCCAGCCAATCAGAAATGGGAACCTTTTTCTCCCCAGGAAAGTACCATCTCTCTAGCAGGGACTGAAAAGGGGAGAAAAGGTTCCCGAAAAAAAAGATACTTTTGGTGTGAACTCAACATCCCAGGAACTATCGGAACTATTTCTGGGAAAAGTACGGGAAAAGTACTCCGGTGTGAAAGCGCCTATTAATTCACAACAAGACGAAAAACATAAATAATACATCCAATAAGAGCCAGGGGGAAAGAAAAAGCATAAAGTCACAAAAACATTTAAGAGGCATTAAGCTTACTTAATAACCATTTGGAAATGTCATTGTAAATCTTTATAGACAGGTTACAAGATTGTATTTTTCTAAGGGACAGAAAAAAGGACTTGACCTCATTTATGAAACAGGGAAAGGAGGGCTTGCCTCCTCTCCATTTACTACAATGTAAATGGTATTTACCCAAAATAATAATTATATTTACCAAATCAGAAATTGAAGAGTCCAAATTATCAATATAATATCAAATGTGATATACTCTAGCAGTGTTTAAGACTGGTTAATGGAAAATAAGATGTTAACAGACTTGCTGTCGCCGCAGTTCCTGCCATTGGTACGCAGTGGAGCAGAATATGTATATCTTGTAGCGGTAGCAATACGATCATTTTTAAATCAACACTGTATGTTGCAATGTAATACGTGGGATAATGTGATAGGGATCACACTATCTGTGTTCTTTTATCATTAACCCTTAGATGCACGAGTGACTGGACCCTATACTCTTCCATAAGTGGTCAAAAAGGACCCGTATTAGAATAATATGTGTTTTTATGTAATTTATGTCATTTTGGTTAAGAAAATTCACTTGTATAATATTTAGTATTATATTTTGGTTCACACTAGAAATATTTTATATTTAATCTTTCACTATTTATAATTTAAGACATTTTTTTGACATTTGGAAAAAAAAAACGAAATTCGATAGAAAATGCATGCGGGTCCTTTTTGACCCACTTATGGAAGCTTGGGGTAATAATACAAAAACTACAATTTCTTCAAATTTAAATTTGTAATTTAAATGGCATGATATCCAAAACATGTTTTTTGAGGAATAGCTGGAATATGAAATGATACAAAAATGTATTTTCAAAGATACTTCAAGAATACCACCTCACCAGGTCAAAAAATACCCACTTATGGAAGCTTGGGGTAGTAATACAAAAACTACAATTTCTTAAAATGCATACAATTTAAATTTGAATGGCATGATATCCAAAACATGTTTTTGAGGAATAGCTGGAATATGAAATGATAAAAAAAATGTAATAGATACTCTAAGAAAACCACCTCACCGGGTCAAAAAAGACCCACTTATGCATCTAAGGGTTAATGACCGCCTCACTGCACATTATGCCTTACTTAATATACTTGAGCAACACTGCAAAGTATGCTGATACTTGGACAGAAATACTCACTTACAGTATAGTGGTGTCACAACAAAACACATTTTCAAAACAGAAAACACAACTTTCCAAGAAATATTTACAGTGTTTCTGGCAAATTAGCACCTGAACCATGTGTTCTTGTGTTGATGGGCCTTCAGCTGCCTAACCAACACTTAAATAAAAGCGCACATCTTGAAGGTTTATTGACAGAATCATAACTTTACTTATTATTTAATCATAACCAGTCACACCAGGAGCAGATGGAGGTAATTTAGTCATACTGTACATTAGATGATACAATGTTCAGCTTTAGTGTTTATAAAATGGGATTATCCTGTAAAGACAACGCTCCGGCCGATGATGGAAAATGTATATTATTATGTTATATTCGGATAATGAAGTTATAGTTGATAAACTCTTGGACCATAATACAAAGCCAAATTGCTTTTATTGACTTACAAGCGCTGCATGCAACACTCAGATACAGTCGGTAGTGGAATGCAATTTTAAAGTTGGTTTGACAACACAATTGTAATTTGCAATACTAACTTTCAGATGTAGATACAAATGAAATGTTGGGAGCATATGGCAGGCAGAAGAAGCTCAATAAAGAATGTTTCTCAGCATAAAATGTGTATGAAATCACCGGAGAACTAGTGCTCACTTCAAATCATTTTTCACAAAATAAGTAAGGGGTATGATTCCAATGATATTTAGCATAAATATTGGAGGACTAGGATTCATTTGGTATAAAAAAATGAATGTGTGAACCAAAGCAGGATAATGACAAAAACAGCTGGACACACTGTTGATCTCAACGAAGCAAAGTGCTTTTGTAAAATGCGACTGATCTGACTGAAGTCCACGGAGGCTGTTTGTGTGTACAGCATGATGACCGTAAATCAGCTGAATGTTTACTATTTCTTAACTTCTTTGCTTTTTGGCTGATTGCCCTCAACAATTATTAACTGGTCCTGATCTTAACTGAAACCTATTTGGCTTTATTATTTCATTCCTGACGAAATGTGCCTGAGATATCTTGG